CTGTTGGGCCATGTCTTGAATTTTATAAATTTCATCCATGTTAATTTTGGTGAAATTCGGCATCTGGTAGTTTTCTACTTGTTGATTTTCTTGTATTTCGATCTTCGGAAGAATCAGTGGCTTGCCTTCTTGAATGTTTCTTTCATTGACGTATTTCTTGTTTCTGATTGTGATTCTGCAGGATTCTGGAATCTTGACTAGGGTTGGCAGCTTGATTTCTATGTATTGGTCTGTTTTGCACTTGGAAAATATCCTTTCTTCTTTGGCGGGTATGATGAGGACTTCTTCATTTGTTACTTGTTCGACGATGGATTCTTGTAAATGGATTTGTAGTACTTGGCAATGTTGCGGAAAGTTGTTGTATAGTAATTCAAGTGTACAGTTGTCTTCAGGATAAAAGTTCTCTTTGCAATAATGTTTGTTTTCTAGAAGTGGACATGCCGTTTCTTCGAATTGGTATTTTGGTGGTGCTCGTGCCAAATAAGGAAATTTTGGGATAAATATTTGGTTATTTTGGCTTATAGGATATAGGTGATAAAATGTAAAGATTTCAGGTCTAACAATAGGCATATGTATAGCAAATATTAACTTTGTATTTGAAAAAGTTATTTGTGTTCCCAAAAATTGATAATATGTTAAAATATCTTTGAAATACGGAATTTCATTATTGTTATAGATTTTTCCTACATAACTTATCATTTCTTCGAGTTCATTACTGGAAATAATAGAATTATGTAAAGTATTGAGTTTTGCAAACATTATGGCATCTTCTACATTATCTATGAAAGTTATCATATTTTGACAATCAAGGTTTATTTGTGTCAGTATACCTTGAAAACTAATATAATCAGATATGTTTCGAATAGTTTTTTGTACTGATATCTGGAATATTTTCAATCCGTGCTCAAAGTTTTCTTGGTTTTTACTTATTATTTCTATCGTCTTATTATAATTGTTTATAAGCTTTTTTGAAAGAAAAGTTTGGAACTTCACCACATGCGAGTTTTTCACTTCACGTCTACGTAATCCTTTGTGTGCCCGGTAATGTTCAGATCTCGAACTGTTCGTTCCACGATTCGATATGCATTCGAATAAGTCTTTCACTACCGAACTTTTCCGTTTTTCCGATTAATCGTTGATACGAAAAATTGCTCGTTCGATACGTTCAATTTTCGGAAATCCTACCGACTGCGCCAGTTTTGGTTGTTCAACGACGAAAAGGCTTTTTAAAAATAGTTTTATTTTCTCAAAGCGACTGGTCATTACAAAAGCTAGCAGGAGATTAATTCAATTATAAAATTATACAATGCAAATCATATCTGGTCGAGTGGGGCTTATCTCTGACAGCGTCAGCGGTTTTCTTGGCTTGTGGACATTTTCCATGCACGTAACTCGCTGCAAACGCGAATGCCAATTGCGAACAAGAAGAACAAAATCGAAAACAAATCAGAATTCATCGTATTGTGACGTAAGCATGAGACGTTGTGGTGGAGCAAACAAAGAAAGGGCACAAAAGAACAAAAACAATACTTTCAATATCCTTCTAAGACCTCTTTGGGAAGTGCATATTACGCCTCAAAGAAACATCCTCATGCCTACATTTCTAAAACATCCCAAAACATCCCAGCGTTACCTCTCAGTAGGCAAACAAAGAAATGCCACAGAAGAACAAAAACAATACTTCAATATCCTTCAAAGACCTCTTTGATGGTCAGTGCATATTACGTCTCAAAATAACATCTTCATGCCAACATTTTCAAAACATCCCAAAAGATCCCAGGGATGTTTGTGCTCAATGGGATAATGCCGAAATTGTTACGAGGTATTTTAACAGAGAATACCCCAATAGATGATTTGGTACTAATGGACCGATAAGGTGGCCAGCGAGGTCGCCGGACATGACACCACCAGATTATTTTCTTTGGAGTCATCTAAAGGACGTTGTCTATGAAGAACCAATCGAAGATATGGCTGATCTTATCAACAAAATTAGTGCAGCGTGTGCCGCTATAACAAGAAGGACGCTCCTACAAGTGACCCAAGCTCATCTGCTCAAAGTTTTTGATAGTTGTATTCGAGTAGATGGACATAATTTTGAACAGAATTTTCAATTTACTTTATCATGTAGTTTATTGTTTGTATGTTTTGTTTATTAGATTAACCTGAAATGAGTAAACTCTTTTTGCTTCTCTACAATTTGACCTGCATTCTCCAAACACCACTTTTTCCTCATTGCTAAATTGAACTATTTTCATATAACTATTGTTAGTTTTGTTTGAATCGAACAAATCAAAATATTTCTTATTACAAAATGTGACAATATCTCTGACACAGTACTGACAACATCTGTCGCTTGTAATTGCACTAAAAACAATTGCGATAACAATGATTGCCATAGTAACTAATATTCATGGCATTCTTGTAGAAATCATCCAAAATCGCATTTTTTGTCAATCAAGAAATATTTACTATAAACTGGTATAACTCAGAAATGAGTACGATGAATTAGTTCGAGTAAATAACAAAAAAGTTTATGAATAACATGTTCTTTTGCGAGCGTGTAATTTCAAAGTCACTGCAATCGATTTATATTTTCGACGCGTCACGACGCTCAGCTCCTAGTAGGCGTTGAATTTTTTATACTTTGAAAGAAATCTACTTGACCCCCTTCATTGACTACTTTTTACAGAAATCAAATATTCCTATTCATCCGCGATTGAGCTGAAATTTCGTATACACGTTTAGTTTGGATGGCAATGCTCGATATGGCGTGTGACGTATCATTTCAAATCCAATATGACGGACCATCCAAGATGGAGGAATAGTTAATATCAATGCACTTCTACAATATGGGTATCAAATGAAAGGGCTCGTTGAGAGCAACTCGAAAAATAATAATGTGACGTCATTATAAATCCAATATGGCGAACCATCCAAGATGGCGGAATAGAGCTCTTTATTGCTGCTGGTCTAGCATACGCGGCCTTAAGTTGGGTAAAATTATTAGGTTTCCTTATTGAAGAGCTGGACGTGGCTGGACTGTTCGAAATTAACCGGCAAACGAGTTTGCAACAATTCTTTCAGCTATAATCTCGTACTTCTTGACATGAGGTTCTCCACATAAAATCGCGTGTCACCTGAAACTGTGCAAAATTTCGGAATTTTCAAAGGGATTCCAAATGAACGAAACCTTTTTTTTTTCAACTATGACAGCAGATCGAGGCATGACGATTATTACCTTGACAATATTTTTTGAATTGTATTCTCATTTTAAAATTAACTTTTTGGTTTTGCAGTCATATTTTTTATCCTCGTCAACCGATTTTTTAAATCTCAAGCTCATTTTGGAGCATGAACTTTAGATGAAGAGATATGAAGATCAGGATTGGCTCAAGATGAATATTATACAGTGTGTCGCACTTCTAAGCAACCCTGTATATATCTTTCGTAATTGTTGAGTTATAGGATTCTGATATTTGCAGGAGCGGTAGATATACTGAAAATACACACTATGACGACCAATTCAATAACTTTCCATATTTTTTCTGGAAAATGTTCAGTTCTCACACTTTCTTTCTCACGCAGAATTCTTGACTACTATGAAAGCAACAAAAAAGATCTGGACCGACATCTGATGGACGCATCAAGAATGAATTTTCTCTCTGAAAACAAGTTAATTTTTATTCGATTCTCCTCCGAACGGGGATTTCGAGCGTATTCCAGATTTGGGTCACGGGGGTGCTTTCATGAAAAGTGAGACAAAACTTAAATTGGAGAGTTAGTGAATTGGACATCCTGATATTGAATACGAAGTGATTTTCAACCTATCTTGGTTCCTAATATCATTTTTGTAGGTGGTTCCACGGCTGTTGGCGAGCAGTGCATATCACTAGAGATGACTCCACTTGCGGTCATAGTGTGTATTTTCAGTATATCTCCCACTCCTGCAATTTTCAGAATCCTTACTCAGTAAGTCTTTATTGGCGAACTCCGCTTGCCATTCCTCCGAATCACTATCACTCACTTTGTTGACTTCCTCAACAGGCCTCCAGAACACAAAACCACTATGATTGATAATTAAGAGAACAAACTCAAAGCATAGATTAAATTTTAATCAAATCTTGGAGCGAGACTTTGAGTTTTTTCTCTTAATTACCTCATCACCTCCAATTTGAGCATGGACTACTACTAGAGTTTCACTATGATTGAAATAATAAATTTTCTGAATTTCAAGTTGAACCAATGAAGACAACCTAGCTCGTACCGCACTGCCTAACGCAGGCTAGAAGATTCTTATCACACAGAAGGCCGCCCATGCAACTCTGACCAATCAACATTCAGTATAGTTTGGAGCAACCAATGAGACGCGGTTTCTAGCATGACAACGCTTGTCCAGTCCACGTTGACTGCATACCGGGAAAGCTCAGTAGAAAATATCTCATCCATTCCTATTCCAATGTTAAGCAAATCGACAAATCCTCGTATCGCCCTTAAAAACGGAAGTTTTTCAACTGACTTCGTATAAACTATAATATGTATTACGGCCGGCTGGCAGCCGCCTGGACACCTCGACGCCGGGAACTGCCGGGAGAGGTGTGCGTTACAAATGCTGGGCCGATGGTTGGTGTTATCTGGGATACTTTTGTAATGGAGAAAAAATTAAGTGAATACTTGTATATTTGCTAGGTATTCATATGTTTATTCCACTATAACTGTTATGATTGTTATGCGAATAGGAATGATAATATCTTATTTGAATAATTTTACAGGCAGAACAATATTTTCGAGGTCAGCCACTGTTCATTTGAGTATCTTCAAGAATGTTGCTGTTGATGGTCTGCCAAGCTCACTCCCTAAAACAATATTTGGTACGCCACTGGTCTTTCGGGTAACTTCGGGAATTTTAGTCGCTGGCTTGGTCTGCTAATATCACACCGGTTGGCCAGATTGTCAGCACTGTCGTCACTGTAAATAGTGTCATTGGAATGTCATTGTGTCATTACTGTCAGTCTGTCACTCTTTTGCATCTTTTGGTGGTCTTTTCTCGTCAATAATTTCAATAACAATAACAATAAAAATTATTAAAAACACACCTTTTGAATATTCAGTTCCGTAGAATATTGTTCTTCTAAATGGAAAAAGTTGAAGATATGACTCATTCCTATGCTTTGGCACCTTTGACCGATCAGTACATGGTCCATGTTGAAGAAATTGAAGGTAAAGTATTGGAGTTTACTACCATTCTAGTTTATCCATCCTTTCATACAGTAGTTCACCAATTATTTTTATAAAGATGATCACGACCAGCTCACAGCGGAAAATACAGATGACTCTAATCATGATGGAGAAAAATCAGGTGTACCTCTGCGAGAACAGGACCGTTTCCTGCCGATTGCCAATGTAGCCAAAATCATGAAAAAAGCCATTCCAGACACTGGGAAGGTAACAAATAAAGTATGTATCGCCCTTTACCTTCTATTGGGTATTGTTAAGTCTCTCAAAATATTAACTAGTTACATTCTAGATTGCTAAAGATGCCAGGGAATGTGTACAGGAATGTGTGTCTGAATTTATTAGTTTTATAACTAGTGAGGCTAGTGATCGTTGTCACATGGAAAAGAGAAAAACCATTAATGGAGAAGATATCTTAGTTGCAATGAGTACTTTGGGTTTTGACAACTATGTGGAACCTTTGAAGTTATATCTACAAAAGTACAGAGAGGTAAGGTAAACAATTAAAGTTCTAAAAGTATACTGTTAATCAAGTTTTAAATAGAAGAAATCAACCTGTTGATAGGAAAACAAGGGTGCCAGGATTGGTATATTTCACAAGTTGGAAATGTAAAAAGTTCCTCTAATGCTAGAGATCAGCTGGAAAAAAATGTTAGATATTTGGATAAATTGTCTGGAAGTGCCTAAGAGCAAATAAATCAAGAAGTTTCCTTTGCTCACTTAGATCATGGATGAACTTATTCTTCACAAATTAGGGGGACCAGACTTGAAATTCTTCAAACTTTTATTTCAGAGAAACACATATTGAGATTAACTAAATAATCATAATTGTATTATTTTGAATTTCTGGAATTGTTCTAGTACTGAATTTTGACATCAAAACTTTTGAGAAAGATCATACAGAAAATTCAGGAAACTTGGAAATGTTCTATGAGCCAAGTTTAATGAAAAAATTCTTCTCAGAAATAGAATCCTTGAAGTTACCAAACTTTGGTCACTGTACATTTCAGATTCTGAAAAATTATTATATAGGGTTTTTTTTAACTTGGATTTTTTATGCATCCTCAACTATTTCACAGGATTTTACAGCCAGGTAATAATAGTAATAATAAAAATAATAAAGCTTGTATTGTCAAAGAGTTTCAAAAAGGAACAATCAATTCAATTTTAGGAAAGTAAACCCCGAGGTAAACCCTTTATATGAGAGTAAAGGTTGACCAAAAATAATTATAGAATAATTCACCACAACTACACCAATGAATACTTTTTCAAATGGTTAAAAATGATTTTTTATCTAAAACTATGCCTAGGTTATCTTCATGATTCATCAAATTATTTATTTGCAACAATAAAAAAGTTAACAGACTCCATGGAAGCTAGGGAAGCACAGCTTGGAATCATCACCTAGATCAATTTTATAATGTAGTGAAAATGTTATTATTTGCATCCTACTAATTCACTGCTAAATGTTTCAATTCACTTGTCATTTTACAATAAATAAATAAAAATGACCCTCTTGGCCGCCAGCCCTGCAAATCAATCACACTCTACCTATGGATGGAAGCTGTTATTTAAAAGCATACAGGCTGCATATACTTACCCATGAAAATTTGCGTTGACATATGCATGTCCTGGATTTCTGATTGAATCAATTTTGTTGCTCTGTTGGATCTATTTTTATGTAACCAATATCTTGAATACATAATAGTCCCTATCAATAATAACTGTCAGATGATCAATAGGGTATCTCTTTAATTTTTCACCCATGTTAGATTGAAATCCTCGTTAAAGTCAATGCATGAAACAAACGGTGGTGGAAGCGGTGGGCAGATAGCTTCAGTCAACAAGCGAAGGTATGCCGGGTGCATATTCATATGTTACCGACACAAAACGACAATCGGATTTCCGAGCGAAGCTGAACACGTAATAAGTTACCGACGAAATTTTCAGTTTATGTCTGTAACTTAACGGATGGTAGGTAACGAGCCTGTCACTGTTTGCTGGCAGTGGGAGACATGCAGTTTTTTCATCATAGAAAGGTGTTCAAGTGAGGCCGTGCCACAGTGAGCTAAGCCAGGGCCTACTCTATCTGACCGGGCCGGAGCATCGCTTTCGTGACGTCACACTAGTAGGGACAAAATCAACATAGTGGAAATTGTCTCTTCCGTTTCATTGATGTACCTCGGGAAAACGGTTACAGTTAGCAAAAAATATCAACAGGTCAAATATGTACAGAACAGAATTTCCCAGGAGATGAATCAACTTTCACTGATTTACGATCATTAGTTTCAGAAATATCGCATATCAAAATTAATTGACGCCATTCAAAATTGTCCTTTTTTAAACAGCTACCAAAATTCCAATATTCAATTCACAGAAATGATTCAATCATGAAAAGATTTCTCATAGTATCTTAATTGACTGAGTTTTTTTTTTAATTCCCAAGGGCCAATAACAAACCGATATTTCAATTCAAGTAGAAGGATGATTTAGGTGTTCATTACAGAATAGTTCAAAAAGTTCGGACGCCTCCCATGCTAATCCTATCAACTGTGGATATATGCTGTCACTGACTTTTTTGTAGGAAATTTAATTGCCTACAAATCGGTATGATACACATCGACTTATCTCGAAGGAATTTAGCAGCATTTATGTCTAAAGATGATCAGGACGCACTTTGATGACTTTAGAAATCCAATCACTCGAGTGTGTTATTACACAAAAACGCCTATTGGGTATTAATTATTTTCTGCTGAAGAGTGTATATTTCAAGAGTAACGGTAAATTCATGAAAAAAAATTTGATTTGGATATATTCCCAAACTATCAAATACAAAAAGAACAAAATATGTGGAGTTCATATGAACACAACCAAACAAAAATAATTAAAAAAATATGTATTTCAACAATGAGAGATATAAAAATGAATATAACGAACTGAATAACAAAAAACCCAGAACAACGATATATGAATAAATAAGGAAAAAATAAAAAAAAAACATTGAATCCTTATATACAAACAAAACCAAACAAAATAAACTGTAAAAATGATCAACATAACAAAATTAAAAAAAATGATAGATATCACAAAATGAAATGCACTAATAACAAAAAATTATATACATCTAAATCACAAACTGAAAATTGAAATCTAGACTTATCTCATCCTGAAAGTTTAGTGATTTTTCTTTTTTTATTATTGGACAAAATCCTACTATTTTTGATTTTGCAATAATTGTTCAACAAAATATTTGGTTTTAGAGAATGTTCTGATGATTTCATCAAAAGGCCCACAACTGCAACATTGATTCTCGGAATAATTGAGAAGGGAATTGATTTTAATTTATGCTAAATTTTCCAAAACTTTATGTTGTGACTTACATTGTAGAAATATTGTTTCGAATTTTTCAGACACCAATATTCGTACGTTTGAACCATACAATCTGTGCCATACGCCATTCAGACGTGAAATGAGTAATAAAAAGTATATCGCCCTTTACCAGTCTAAGGAATTACCACGAAATCCTTATACAGCGAAATTTGGGAAGGTAGGTATAATGGCCCATTTTTTGCGCGCTCTTTATATTTAATTTCTTTCGGACTCATTGTAGGTAACTCTACAATTTTTTCACTATTCAATTGATGCATTATCCTAGTTTGATAATATATTGAGATAGTTTGATCTTATTCCGATAGCAAATTTGCAAAAAATAGTATTTTGTAGTACAACGTCCTGATTTTCAATAAAATGGAATTTCTTTACAACGCCATAACTCGGTATTGATTCATCCTATTAGATTCCTTTTTTCATCAAAACTTTTGGGGAATTCGTTGGAGATCATTTCGTCTCGGCTGAGTGTGCTTCTAAAATCTATAGTAAATGAGCTATAGCCTATCAATTACGAACGCACCAGTACGAACTGATGTGAAATCTCAATCTACTAGTGTAACGTCAGCGTCGAGAGAAAGGGGATAGACTACGGCCCGGTGAGATAGAGCAGGCCCTGGCTAAGCGCTCGTGTGCCACAACTAAAGGGCTCGAGTGGAGTCCTCGCGAGATTGAGTTTTTTTTAATTCAAGAAATCTCGAGAAGCTTTCCGTAAAATATAATTTATAGAAATAAAGTTCACTTAGGCCTTGTTAGGTTAGAGTGTTTGAAAATGCAGTCTCCTTTGTTCTCTATAATAGTAATTGTCCGAAAAATATACTTTTTAGGAAGAAGGTTCATTTCGGCCGAATTAGGTCTTGTGCAGAAAGGATATTGTCAACTCTTACTTGAGAATTTATTATTATTACTATTATTATTCCGTATGCCCTGACCTACATTCTCCACATTCGTCTATTAACCTTTTATTTCACAATCGATTTATATCAGCAATACCTAAAGTTTAACGTTTCCAAATAACCAACAATATTCCTCCAATGAATAAGTTCATTAACTTTGAGCTACTTTGGCAAAGAACCAAAGAGTCAGCAGTCGACTCACCAAAAACGTATTGAGGAAACGAATCGATCATTATCAATCGGCGCCCGGCGCCTCCACCACATGTGTCACACCCTCTATTAACTTTGGCTTGCTTGGGGAGCGTAGCCGGGGTGACGGTGACACTTATAGTAGAAACACACTCTTTGCTAATCGAGAGGTATTAGATATTGTAGCCACTGAGGCTTTACTCGATACTTGACCAGATAATTGAATCAGAATAATCAGATATGGAACAGAACCACTTTAAGAGATCAGTCAATGAGAGCACACAGGTCAGAGTATAGGAATAACAAGCTTTATTCAAACAAATATACATAGATAATCAAATCGCCGACCCAACTGGACCAATCTCTCTCAGCCACCACTCGTACACGCGTATATTTCTTCTCCTTCCACTATGATTTCTCTAAAGGGGTTCGTCGAGCCTAGATCTTCGAGACTACCCTCACTCTATCGCAGCCCGATTGATAATGATCGATTCGTTTCCTCAATCCGTTTTTGGTGAGTCAACTGCTGACTCTTTGGTTCTTTGCCAAAGTAGCTCAAAGTTAATGAACTTATTAATTAGAGGAATATTGTTGGTTATTTGGAAACGTTAAACTTTAGGTATTGCTGATATAAATCGATTGTGAAATAAAATAAAATAGACGAATGTGGAGAATGTAGGTCGGGGCATACGGAATAATAATAGTAATAATAATAAATTCTCAAGTCAGAGTGGACAATATTTTCCTTCCTCATATTCGCAGAAAGTATAATATTATTGGAAAATAATAAAATGTACCGCGTTGCTTGATCTAGGCATAAGTTACCGACGGAATCCTAAAGTTACGGCTGTAACTTAAATAAAATCGTTCGGCTTTCCGGAGCGGATAGTTGTGCCGGTAACATATGAATATGCATGCCGGGTGGGTCGTTACCACCGAGATTAGAAGGCCAGCAGACTCTGACGTAAACAGCTCGTGACGTCACCTAAGAGAGGCCAGTGTTTTACCGTTTGTCGACTAACGCGTCAGTTCGTGTTAATTCATCGGTGATTCACGTATGTTTTTGAAGCGGTCCAGAATTCTTTTGTGCTTTATTCATCAAAATAATTGGCGGAAAAATTACTGTTTTGTGAAATATTTTGTGTTGTGATAAGCGAAATAACAATGCCTTTCAATTGTTGTGTTTGCTTTTGTCGGGGGAATTATGTGGGTGGTCCAAAAGTTCATGCTTTTAGTTTCCCGTTGGACGAGGAACTATCGAAAAAGTGGGTATATGCAAATCACCGCGAGGATTTTACTCCATCTAAGTACAGTAGTAAACAGAGCTTAATTTATAATGATGAATTAATAATAGAAGACAATTAATTACTCTCTCATAAAAAGTATGAGTAGAGGAAAAAGAGAAAAGCTTTGATTGTGCAGTTAGTTTTGTATTCGTATATTATATTCAACTGAATCATCTCTGAATTCGAGAAAATTTTCTTGAATGTTCATAATAAACGGGCATTTTTAACTCACATGTTTTTTCACAGTTACCGTGGGTGAATCATCTGATATTTCTGATTGAAGAGTATCAGTTGGGATTTTTCTGGATTTGGTTCCGAATTTAACTCTTCAACTGCTTTTTCAAGTGATTTATGATGACTCATAATGGCTGTATCATCAGCAAATTGTATGCCATTGATGAATGTGTTTTGATTTTGTAGATTTTGATTATTCCAATTGAATATGTCGAAACAGTATATATTGCATTGAAATGGAGACAAGGGTGAGCCCTGAGGGAGTCCTTGATGCGGGTGGAATATTATTGATAGTGCCTGATGTACTTTTATTTGCAGGGACCTTTTGTCTAGGTAATCCTTCAGTAACCCGCGAGAGACCGCGCGGGGTAGAAAATACCACAGGCGATATCAAATTACGATTTTTTTGCTTAATCTGCACGGCACTGAAAGATCACGCCGGCTCAGTTGCTAAATATGAACAATTAACAAATTTTTGCATGTGTTTCGTCATTAGTTCTGCACACATCGTACTAAACAGTTGGTGAATTGTTCCTGGGGTATATCCATACCCCACGCGGAAAAGACTTGAATTCTTCTATATCTGAATTCGTGTCTGTACAAATATAGAAATTCAATCTCAAAACGAGCATCCTGCAACGGTAGTCAAATATTCATATTATCCAGGAGAAAAAAAATTTAGAAGCAATTAAAAAAAGGGACGTGCATATATTATTTATTCCTTCATTGAAATTCATTATTTAATTAAAGTTCATCAATCAAATTAAGTTTGTTTTTTCTGGTTTTTTATTATTGTTGTTTGTTTCTTTCATTATTGTTATAAATAATGGAATTCCACATCGGACAACGGTTTTTTTCGTCTGAAAGTCCTGAAATTCAATCACAACCAATGGGGTAGATTACTACCGTGTGTACGTTTACATTGGCGCGGTCCCTCGCGGGTTAAGTGTATTATACAGGGTATGTCACGACGAGCTTACACAATCTTTATATCGAGAATCAGTCGGAAGAAATCCATGAAAATGTGCATGCTTATGTTTCAGAATACGCTCTCTTCATTTAAAATATTTTCGACGATGCAGTGTTGCCGCTTCTAATAGAAAGTAGTAGCAACATTGATATTTCAAATGAAACACCCTGTATTTTATCGCATTTACAGATTCTCCCTGAAGAGCTGATTTTATCGATGATGATGATGATGATATAGGGTGTTCAAAATCGAGATTTTTCAACTTTAGGATTTTTTGTGTCGAAACTATTCATTATCGGTCAAAATAAATCACATGTCCCTATCCCAACTTTTGATTCACTATTTACTGATATTTAATCGGAACAGATACAGAGTGGTTCAAGATTCAGAATTCTCATCACCCTGTATCTGTTCCGATTAAATATCAGTAAACAGTAAATCAAAAGTCGAGATAGGGACATGTGATCCGTTTTGGCCGATAATGAATAGTTTCGACACAAACAAATCCTAAAGTTGAAGAATCTCGATTCTGAACGCCCTATATCTCTGTAATCATTTCCGATAGACCCCAAGTGTGATGTATCGATGAAATCAGCTATTCAGGGAGAATCTAAAAATGCAATAAAATAAAGGGTATTCTATTTGAAATAACAGAGTTGTTGCTACTTTTTGATAGAAGCGGCAACACTGCATTGCGGAAAATATTTTAAATGAAGAGAGCGTATTCTAAAATATAAGCATGCATATTCTCATGGATTTCATCCGAGTGATTCCTGATATAGAGATAGTGTAAGCTCGTCGTGACATACCCTGTATGTTTAGGGCAGTTCAAAGTACATAATTTGTAAAGTATTCCTTTATGCCCCACACTGTCAAAAGCTTTGTTGATGTCAAGAAAGATAGCTGCACTATGAAATCCGGAAAGTTTGCTTGTTTGTATATTTGATACGAGGACTGAAATTGGGTGAATGGTTCCACATTCCTGTCAAAATCCATACTGGTGAGTAGGGATAGCATTCCCTATGTGTTCTTCAGTCAGCACCTTGACTATTTTTCCAAGTTTTTACCTAATACTGGTAAAAGGGTTATTGGTCTGTAGTTTTTAGGTTTGCTCTGGTCTGTATTAGGCTTTGGTATTGTTATAATAATTCCCTGTTTCTGGTGGAAAGTAATTTGCATTTATGCAGAATTCGTAGATTTTGATGATGTATACAGTGTGACCATTTAGTGCTTAATTCTTCGATATTTCGAAAGCCACAATAACCTATAGAAAAAAACTATGGAGAAGAAACTTCTTTAGTTGCTGAAGTTGCTTATTTCAAAAATATTTTCAACATTACTGAGTGTATTATAAAAGCGGGACAACTCGGAGACGAGTTTTTTCAAATAGAACACCCAGTATTGCTTATTCGGAATTTATTCCGCGGAGGTTTACCTTCACATCGCTGTAAAAAAAATTTGAATCGCTTGCGGCGAGTTATAATTGATAAATCTATTTTCACCACTATTGACGAATCATGTTGAATTGGCCATGGTATATTCATTTATTCAAATTTTGAATATATTTTTGGCATACGGTAGAAGCAAGTTCTCACGTATACCAATCCAGTAATTTTGCGACATGTTTTTCAACAGGGTGTTCAATTTTGCAAGATTCAGATGACATTCACTAGATTTTTTCGAATGGAACACCCTGTATTTTTCCTCACACATCTATTTCAACATCTTTCGCCTTTACATCGCTGAAAAAAAAATCGAACTCGGTTGCGGCGTTGTCAAGTTATGGATAATTTCCTTACTTTTACTACTATTTCGGGGTAATTTGAAAGTCATAGTTCTTTCATTTATTTGTATCGTGGAAATATTGCGTTGCTACGGACAAATTCTTTTTGTTATCAAAGGTTCCCATTTCGAAAATATTTCCAACAATAATGGGTGTTTTATAAAAGCGGGACGACTCGGAGACGAGTTTTTTTTTAATAGAACACCCAGTATTTTTTATTGGAAATTCATTGCGCAAAGGTTTAGACTTTAGCTCTACATCGATGTGACTGAAATCGAATTCGGTTGCGGCGTTGCCAAGTTATAATTGATAAACCCATTTTTACTACTATTGAATGGTCATGTTGAATTGGGTATGGTATATTCATTCATAAAAATTTCTAGAATATTTTTGTCATATAGTAGTAGCAAGGTCTCACGTACACCAATCCAGTAATTTTGCGAAACAATCCTTTACAGGGTGATTGAATTTACATTCTGAATATTGTAAGATTCAGACGACGTTCATTAGAATTTTTCAAATGGAACACCCTGTATTTTTTATCACAGATTTATCATCATTCGCCATTTCATCGCTGAAAAATAAATCAAAATCGGTTGCGGCGATTTCAAGTTATGGGTAATTTCCTTATCTGTATCACTATCTCAGGGCTACTTATGAGGCATGGTACCTTTATTTGAATCGAGTGTGGAAAAATTGACATTCGAGGTTATACATAGATCATTCAGGTATTTTTGCGATATATGTGCATTGTCCAAATTTGAAATATTCCGTAATCTTGTTACTTATGATTCAAATAATATGTGAAACAAACAAACATGCCAAAAGCAACGCCTGCATTCAAAACAACTTCTACAATACAAACAATGGAGATTTGGATTGCGAGAATAAGGACAATTTTTTAAAATTATTGTCGTCATTCCCACAATCCAAATCTCCATTCAACTTGAAGGAGGTAAACATAATGATACAATCAATATTTCTTTGCTATGTGGGTTTCGGCCGGGAGAGAATTTAGGAAAATTCAAAATGAATTCAAGATATATTTGATCGTGGCGATGTTTGACGGTCATTACACAAATATAAGTGTATTTCGGAAAATAAATCTATAGTCTGCAAAAAATCCGTGAAAGTTGCATTTTGGATAAATTTGTCAAAACCCACTGTTTTAAATTCAAACTTGAAGAGCCTGTAAATGTTCCTGTTGTAAAAAAATATATGAATGGTCAATGATGGATTTCGAGATATCCAAGAATTACGCACTAAATGAACACACTGTAGATGAATCTCGTATTCTACCATTAATTTGGTATCAGATGGAACTATTAGCTTGTGATCAAACCCTGAAATTTCGCGCAAATCACAACACAGGATATAGTGCATTTTTCAATTCAGACAAGGGTCTGAACTCGCAACTCAACCAGCTGAAATCACTTGGTAATTTGTGTTTTTCCATTTTTACAGGCAGCCAAAAGCGATAAAAATCTCAATGGCGATATCATGTTTGATGAAATGCCCGAAGAGTCCACATTCAGTAAGTTGAGAACATATTTGGAGCTACCCAGTAAGACTAATGATATTTTTTAGACACGTCAGCTAATAATTTGTTAACAACTGAAAACGGGGCTACAGAAACGGTGATTTATACGTATCAGGACAATAATGCCATCCATCAATTTCAGTTGGGTTGAAATTGTATTTTTATTTTTTTATTTTATCCATAGGACTATTATTGTACTGATAGGTTAGGTTATAGTTTGAAGTTTTTACTAATAAAACGAACGATTCGACTATACATCAACACTTTACTTGCTGCATATTCCTCAACAATAATCAACTGAAAATGAAATATTACAATTGCAATATTTGTATAAAAACCAAAAATTAAAAGTATGCTTATATGATAAGACAGTTCCAAAATCACTCTCGGGAAATATTCTAATGATCAAGTTAGTAGAGTATCATCCAATTCTTCTTCTTTTCCCTCTGGCTGGGACAGTATTTTCTTCAGGACCTTACTCACAACATCTGATAAGGACTCTCTAGGTCCAACATCCAGTACATTCAGACATTTCTATAAAAAACAAATATATGATGACTGATCCCTTACTCTCGTAACTAAAATGTTATTAGGCATGTTTTTGTGTACTGTGTGACACTAAAACTCTCTTAGGAAAAAAAATAGAAACAAAGTTTCCTTCATGAATCAACTGATATATCTGGAAGAATATACAGAGATCGGAGAGTTTATACAACGGAAAACACTAAACAGATTGTTTGCCCAATAATTTCTTACATACAGGGTGTAAATTTGGAAACTTTCAATGCGAATATCTCGCGAAATAAAAAAGTTAGAAAAATGCCGCTTGGCACAAATGCTAAAGTGTTAGGAAGAACTAGAACCACCATATTTCAGTGACGGGATGAGTCACCCTGTCAGCGCAACACACCCCAACTTTGAAATGTCAAATGGCACTACCTCTTTTGTGATACCTCAAATGAACGGGCTCAGTCAGTAGTATTCACCTGTACAAGACTTTTTTCCACCCACTACAGGGTGAACGAAAAACATAAAGTCAAATAAAATGCAGAATGCCGATATATTCCAAGAGATGTGTTCCAAAATGTTAGAATGGCATTTGAACATCGATTATACTATTGCTTACAACAGAATGGAATGCATTTTGAACATCTGATCAAATAAAATATCCTTTTAACACAATTCATTTTATTTTATTCGACTTTATATTTTTCGTACACCCTGTAGTGGGTGGAAAAAAAGTCTTGTACATGTGAATACTACTGACTGAGACTGTTCATTTGAGGCATCACAAAAGAGGTAGTGCCATTTGACATTTCAAAGTTGGGGTGTGTCGCGCCGACGGGGTGACTCATCCCTTGACCGAAATATGGTGGTTCTAGTTCCCCTTAACTCTTTAGCATTTTTGCCAAACGGCGTTTTACTAACTTTTTTCTTTCGCGAGATATTCGCATTGGAAGTTTTCAAATTTACACCCTGTATAAGGCATGTGAATGGAAACATAGCTAGAGACTGATTCGGTCGGCTTCAGCTGTCGTACGTATTTGCTAGTGGTTTCAAATATTGGAGTTTTTGCCAACTACTAGTGGTTTACTATACGCGATAGAAAATTAGCGTACGCCACCTATCGGAGTTCTTGAAAGCTGTCAAAGCAGCATGTTTACTTTGTTTTCATTGGTTCACATTTGTTTTTTGTTCGTGCTTATTGGTCAAACCATCAAAACAAACCGACGTCAAGAGTGGGCGGAGCTTAGTAAACCTTTCCAAACAAACCATAGATGTATTGATTTTGATTGTTCCATAAGAGTTTATTTTAATCTGAATTAAATAGTTTTGAAGGAAAAATAAGAGATTGTGTTAAAATTTCCGAAGTGTTGAATCCATTTTCGACCAATATACAGGGTGGCATTGAAATAAGTGCAAATATTTCAAACACTGAGAAAGCTCGACGTGTACTATTAAATGGCACTAATTGAAAAAATGTAGGGATCAAAATAAAATTTGAGGTTAGACCCCTTTGTATACCCAAAGTTCTACACTGTAGCAAATCTGACGTCACCTCTGTTCAAATTTCCTTGCGGTAGGCACAATCATGTGGAGTTCAATCATTTAAATTGTTTTAAAGTGGCGTAACAAATGCACTCATTCAAACAACGTGGCAACTCTTGGTTAGCCTAAAATTTGATTGAATATCATTAATTCCAGATCCAGAGATCTGTAACTTCTTGCCAGGTATTTTAGTTTTGGTAATATAATCATGACAACACAATAGTATTGAGATTTTGTGAAATAATAACACAATGAAAGTCATACAAAGGACCTAATTGATTTATGGAACACAGTAAAACTAGGGTCCCTTGATGTAAATTGACGAATTTGTCATCTTAACAGGTAACGGACAGATCCTCGTCTCCTCTCACTCTAAAGTGTTTGTGAAACAGTTATATAAACTACTCAACACTAATTTCGTCGCACACCAAAATGTCGCCCCTGTGATAATGCGAATAACTTTTTTCAGTTTAGAACAATTTGAATTTGGTTAACACTGTTCGATAGCCCAGTCCTTCACCTATAATCTGGTACTTCATTGTAACATAAGGGTATTCACATGAAATCTCTACATGGTGTTTTACGACACTGTGCAAAATTTCGGAATATTCAAAAGGCTCTCGAATGGTTAAAAAATTTTTTTTCACAACTTCGACAACAGAGGCATGAAGATGATCTCATTACCTCGAGATATTTCGCGAATCAACTTCCTATATCTCTTATTTACAGAGTGATCTCAAAAAATCAACTTTTTGGTTTTGCAGCCATAACTTTTTTCCACGTCAACCGATTTTGGGAATCTTAGGCTCATTTATGATAAAACTTCAGATGAAGAGATCTGAATATCAAAATTGACTCTCAAGATGACTATCAAAGATCTAGAGTTTTCTTGAAAGTGACCCAAATCTGGAACGCCCTTCGAATCTTGGTTGGGAGGAGAATTGAATGAAAATCAACTTGTTCTCGGAAAAACAATTCATTCTGGATGCGGCCATATTTTCCTCGCTCTCAGTATTCGAGAATGTGCGTGAGAAAACACAATTGAAACATGTTCTTGCAAAAACCTCAGACCATTTCTCCTCTGTAATGCATGACCCGTAACCACCGTTACAAGAATCACAGTAAGTGACTGACAAGTCAGGTTAGACGTCGTTTTCGAATCATAAACAGATTTTGATAGTTTCGATGCCGCATCTAACGCCCGACCAGTTGGAACAGCATGCCCGATAGGGTCAATCAAGTGATTGCCCAAAGGGGAGGACCCACTAGTTACTGAATTTTATTGTTTTTTGATTTCTCATATTGTTATTCTCATTTTGTTGTTGTTCAATTAAAATTCAATGAAAGGACCCCGCACTTTTAGTACGTAAAATGGTTCTCGGTGAAATTTTCTGAACTTTCAGTATGTTGTAGAATTTGATGAACTGATTGAACGTGCAGAATCGTAAAGTTCTTTGATGAACAGATTCTGAGATACAGGGCGTTGAAGTTACAAATCGGTATTTGCAAGCAAATTTTGCTGAAAGTTAAATTACGTTTTACCAAATGGGACTGTTCTTAGGCAGTACCTATCAATAAATTAATTTTGATTTCAGATCAAGCCTTATGGTTGAGAAATGGTGAAAAATTTTATGTAGGTTTTTAAACTAATGTGCTCATGTCATGTATGCTGTATATATTCATGTTGGGAATCATTTTTGCAGTTTTTTACGAACACGTAATATTTCCTGAATGTAGGTATACTTTTTTAAATGGTAGAGCATATGCCTCTTCTTTTAATCCTCCGTTTTAATCAAAACTGTTTCTACTAAAATACATTCGAAAACTTGTGGAGTGGATAATTATAGACACAATGAGAAAGTATAATATGTCATTACGTATTAGTTTCACATCGAATATTTTGCTGATGTATTTACCAATTTTCCACATTCGGTCACTTCACTTTCCAAGTTCTAATTCAAATTTGCCATCCAACTGATTGAAACAGCCTAACGCAGCACATTTCACCATCTTTCCAAAACAGAATTGAATAATGTCGTATTAAGATAAAGTATGAAATTAAAATTTTCTCTTTTAACGCCTATGAGTGTGACGTGACAGCAATGTCATGTCAGGGACGCCAATACACGAAACCAAAGTCACTAGATGATTGAAAGAGAAAGGAGCTATGATCTGTCCGTACCCTGTTAGATGACAAATACGTCAGTTTGCAATTTTGTGTTATAGCTATAGAAAAAATATATAATAGCACAAAGCTTGTTGACGATATAAATTCACCTGAAGTAAGACATTCCTGGACTATGTTTTTCATCTTGATACCAAATCATTCATTATGAAAACACTGTACACAAATCAGTCAATGAATGTAGAATCAAATAAGTCCTGTTCTTGTCACATAACTCACCCAAACTAGAGTAAAATCCAAAACTCTTAAATAATCTCAAATTCACCAATGAAACGTTAATAAACGAAAAGCAAAACACTGAAAAACTGAAACTAATCCGGCTCTGTCTTAAGTCTACGTCAAACAAAATGACAAGAGGTACATTCTTACACAGTTGCTCTCTTGTTAGCCATTCAATTAATATCAGCGAGTCTATGACTTTTGTCGCGAAAATGTTATATACGATTTTTTTAAAGCTGTTGATCATCAGTTACAAGAAGTTTTATAAGGAATATGAACTACATCCTAATGCATAAATATGAATGTAAAAACTTCACAAACGATAAGATTTCCACAAAATTCTCAAACACACGACATGTTTCGCTAACACAGTAGCTTCGTCAGGTGATATACTGGTACATTGTACCAGTATATCACATTGTACATTGATATACTGGTACATTATACCAGTATATCACCTGACGAAGCTACTGTGTTAGCGAAACATGTCGTGTGTTTGAGAATTTTGTGGAAATCTTATCGTTTGTGAATTTTTAAATTTTTAATGTATTTCCATCAAGTAACGGTCGAGTCAATTCAAAAGCATAAATATGAGATTCACGTATAAAAATATATATAATTATAATTCTTGATTTGATTTGTTAAAACGTTGCTTCTATTGAAAAGTATTAAAACTTTCATTGAATAATTCTTCGCATTTTTCATATAGATTACCCTGCATATAATATATCAATGCTCCGTGTATTCATCTGAATGCAGAGCTTAGTACCTGAAACATTGAGTCTCCCTCCCTTAACCTCAAAATCGCAATTAATGCGATTTCGGAATTTGCCTTTACGTAAACGTTCTTTTCTTTGGTGCCATTCACTAGAGTGGGCAACAGCATTCTCAACAGGTCTGGTGACATTTTCTCTTGAGGAATGGTTTTGGCTAAATAAAATGACACGCGAGCTAATAACTGTTTCACTTCATTGCTGTTATTGTTCATTGTCTGAAAAGAAAAAAGGTAAATGGTTAACAATTTGAAACACCAAGCATTTTCATTCATATTGTTCTCTATCCTAAGTTCTTTAGTGGAGATGAAAATAAATGACATTATTACTAAGAATTAAACGTTCCAAATGATGACTCATCTTAAACTTTCAAATGCCTCCAAACATATAATATCGATAATATTGAATAATTAAGCTGGTACATCGACCGAAAGGAAATGGAAAATACAAGAGATGAAAAATGAGGAGAATTAACGTAACTTCGAAATGCTTGCAAAAATAAAATCATAATGATAAAAAATCATTACATTCGGTAAAAAATAGGAAGATTACTGTGCCTTCATATCAGTGGTCGATTGTTCATCATCAATACGATTTCAGTCATCAAAATATATATGTCGGCGTCAAACAGTGAAATCCGTCATTGTCTGGAATGCCTAGTCATTTCACGTATTGCCGGCAAACAGCGTAGCTCTAAATTTCGTACACCGTTTGCCTAATAGTTTCAGGCATTCCCTGTAATGCCGGAAGGAAGGTTCATTTAGGCCGAGTCAGCTTAGGTTGTTCAGAAGCAGTAGTCTCTTCTGTTCTCTCAACTAATTTTCTGAAAAATAGACTTTCTATGAAGAAGGTTCATTTAGGTGGAAAAAAAGTCTCCCTTCTTATGCATATGCAGAAAGTATATGTTTCTTCCTCAACCCACTGGCGAACAGAGTAACGGCTGAAAATGGAAGTTACGCTGTTACGATGTTTGCCGACAATACGTGAAATGACCAGTGGCGGCTCCTCAGAGGAGGCAACGGAGGCTGAGCCTCCTCAGAGATTCTCCTTAAACTGATATTATCTATACTTTCTCATTGAAAGGACACCAAAATACATGGATTTTGATTTTATTTCCTGTCTTTAGGTTCATATTTTTGAATTGGCAACAGTGCTTGCCCACGCATCACACGTTGAAGTCTGCAAATCACGCGTAAAATATTCAACTTGGCAACATCTATAGGAGGCTAGACTCCTTCACTTTTCGCAGCCCACGCGCGCAATGCAAATGCCCGAATAGCACGTGTTTGTCGTGTCGCGTCGCGAATTGCGGACAATCCAATGCGAGTGCATTGTTTATGTTTATGTTAGGTTAATGGTTAGGGGCTCTATAAATTTCTGAAAAATGAGTGTTTTAAACGATTGCGATTTAGTGGAATACTTTTTGGTGAACCCATTCAGTGCTTTGTCTTATGAAGATAAATTGATTGTGAAAAACAAACGTCCGACACCGGAATTGAAAAATCTGATTGTAACAGGTAGCAAACAAAATCGTTCGTTCAATTCTGATAATTATAAAAAATATATCTGGTTGACGGGATCTGAGGTAAGGAATAAGCTATTTTGTTGGTACTGCGTATTATTTTTAACCGATAAGTCATCATGTTGGGGGCGATTAGGATATAATGATTTGAAAAATTTGCCTCGCGGATTGGATAGACACTGCAAATCACAGGAACACATCTCTTCGAGTATCAAGTTCAGGTTAACTGGTAAACAGAATGTCATTAAAGCTATTGATTTGGGTGAGTCGTAGAGAGTTGTTTTTCACAATGAATCTCATATCATTCAGCCTCCTCTGTCATGAAAGTCACGAGCCGCCACTGGAAATGACTAGGCATTTCAGGGAATGACGGATTTCACTAATTGACGCCGACATATACATTTCAAATTGCTTAAAATTTCATCTACTCACCCTCACGAAGGGTACAAGCAAATTATTAGGAATAGCCTCTTCATTTTGCAACAAATAATGCAAAAGATATCCGCACGACCGTATCGCTATCTGCGTGGTCGCATCAGAAGACAGTTGGTTCAGCAAGGTCTGGACGAGTTTCTTCCTGTACTGTTCGTCCCACAACGTCGCTGGCGCTTCTTTCAAGGCCACCGATAAAGCTGCGGCCCTTCCGTCGCGCAGGGTATTGTTGGCAGAATTGTCGTCGCCTGGAAATCAATGGGAAAGTTTCCTATATTGAGGTTCTTATCTTACTGTGAAGTTTTGCAGAGAAACGGGAGGTCTGGGTTAGCTGGATTAATTTTGAAGACGTTGTGAAGTATCTACAAGAATTTATTTCCTCATTTCACATCCACGTGTGCAATTTCCTCATTCATAAATCAGGTTATCTTTCAAGAATAACAGTGTAATTTTTACATATATAGGTACATTTTATTACTCACCTACAAGAATGACCAAACACCAATAAACATTGATTTAACAAATAAATGTTGATATTGTATTATTAATTAAAGGCTCATTGAAGCGACACTTTGTCTGTCTATTTCCTGTGATAGTCAATCGAGAAAAGCAATCCTTCCTAGCAACCAAAATCCCGAAGGATCACAAAAAAAACAGATTCAAAAGATAAGACTACAGAGACGATACTAAAAAAACGCGCCAGATATCATCAATTCAAATGGGAAACACAAGTGTTGTTGGTTGCAGAATCTTCAGTAGGGAAATAATAAATTTCTGAACAAACCTATGCATATGCAACCAGCAATACAGGACGACTTTGCAGGTTGCCAAGTTTTTCCCAAATAACAACGATTACATGATTCATAAATGCGCTGATGCAAGTGATGCACATAAATTGTAGTAAAATAGATGAAAACGAAAACAGTAGGCAAATGAAATAAGGAAATGAAATACTTTGTTTATTGAATGACTTTAGAAGCAACAAATCCAATTCCGGCGGAATTGATTTTGATGAGAGGTTTCAGCACAGTTTGTAAAAAATTAATATATACTTATTTTTTCTTCTTTTCGTAAGATCAAATTTCACTTGACAAAAAAATAAATAAAAGAGGAACTTGGTTCCTCCACCATTCTTATGACTTACTTTCTGAAAATCCACATTCACACAGAGTTGAAATACGATTCCCTGTGCCAGTACGACGTTGCCGACATCATCAATATGTCTAGATTTCCGGAAATTATTCTTTGAATGCATAATAGCTATATCATAACAGCAATGGAATATAATAGGTTCTTAAATCCTACTTCGCCAAGTATTTTGAATAATTCCCATAAATTTCTCATTGGTTGAATGAAGTTGATTACTTATAAAGATAAATTATGATATTTTGCGATAGTATCTATGATTTTTCACAATCGTTATATTACAATATGTTATTCATAACTTGTCAGTCATTTTTTTGCTAATGAATTCGTTCCGTAATAAAACGGATTGATTTTCTACGAAAGTTGCAACATTATATCTTGCAACAGCGCCAAATACTTCGAGTCCGTCCACACTTGCGTCCACACCACTCAAAATACTGACAGGCACAACAAGAGGAAGGAGCCATGGGTGTCAGCTTCATTCTGTTCTGGCCGATGACAGTAAATTAGGAAGGATAGTATCATTGAATGTAGCCGATAGTGATTCATTGATTCAATGATATTTGAGCTCTATTCGAGATATTTCAATGCATAAATAACAAAACCTAAACCTGTCAGAATGAAGCCAAGTTTTCTCTGCATTCCTGCTCCGAGTGCATTTGTAGTTATGTATGATTTTGTTCATCAATTTTACTTCTTCTATTTTTTTCATTCGTTTTTCATTCATTAGCTATTCGTTAGCTATTCGCTAGCTATATTCTTCACCATCAGCTATTTTCAGACTAGATTCAGAATGTACGTCACAGTTTGCCGCCTCCAAAATTAGAAATTGCTTTAATTTGAAGATGAAAATGACTTTATTGGTCGCCATTCTGTACATCGTGGACATAAAACTGGAGAGTTCCGAACTTATTTTATGAAAATTCATCTGAAGGAAACTTCCTCATTGATGGTTATCCCAAGAAACATTACTGACCCATATGAAAATTTGTGAGATCATAGACGTATAAAAAAAGGAGAGACGAACCTGTTTACATTTTGTCCCGATCCAACATCGTTTTCAGCAGTGAACGATGATGAGAAATTTTACTGCAGATTGCCCTTGATCAATTAAATAACATACATTTATATGTAGATTCATTTTGTATGTTTGGTTCTTTCATTGAAATATGTGATTTCTGCTATTGAAATAATTCATTGTCCTAATTTCATGAATTTCAAAATTATAATTTATTATGGAAATGAGTGTGGCATCGCTGGATTGGCGTGTTTAGATTATCAAGTAGTATTTTTCATTCATAATTTGTTAAAAATGAATTTTATTTTCGGCAAATTTCTCGTTCCATTTTTGTCTCCATACGATATTCGTCCTCTTTATAAACTAAGGCTTTTTCTCTCAATACAGTTGTATTCTTTACTGATAACTGATAAAAAATAATACCTTGCAAATTTGGTTGGATGAAAAAATATTGCACGTCGGCTTCTCATGTTTTCTTAACAAACCTTTGAAATTGATAATGTACGATCGTGTACTGGTAGTTCCCGTTTTTTTATCTATTAATAGTTATGTCTGACTGTCAAAGCTTGTCAGAGTGTCCAAACTTTAAATATACAAAAACCTCGAGCCGAAAGTGTCAATATAGAAACTCTAGTATAGGTAAGGTAGGTTAGGTAAGGTTAGATTCCATGTGGGTGGGGCAAATAACACCCCCCTCCCCAACCCCAAATGGGTCAATTGTGGCCGACCCCTGAAAGTTACAGTTCACCTATTTTTTGCAAAGTCCATGGTTGCATGGGGTGATATTTTCCTGAAATCAGTAGGTTGTAAATTGATGATGTTGAACCTCAGTCTGTCTAAGCAAGAGCATGAACGTAATATATGTTTAGCCGTCCTGCCTGTCACACAACAGAAACGACAGTCTATTTATTGGTTGAGATCCATACATAGACAACCATACAGCAAGCTGTATATTTCTCTATGGATTCATCCTTTCTAGATGATATCTTAGACGACAGTGTCCCATCAGCAGTTCTTTCAGAATTCGCAGGCTCCATTCTAGGATCTGCCTGGTTCCATTTTAGGATGGTTAAGACAGGAACGCATTGAAATGAGTTAATCCTGGCAATTCAGGCCAGTACGTGAGTCTTTTTCCCTCCGCCTAGTCAAAAATAGATATTTTGGCCGAACTTGTGATGACATCAAAGTTGGGTTATGGTCCTATGAACACTGATTCGGTTTCTTGTCACCCCCTGTTTTTGTTTACTGGAGGTCTATTTGTCTGACTTCCGCCTGAAAGATTGTAGTATACTTGCTGAGATTGACTGAGAACACACCTACTCCAACCCTTACCACTTTCTCGTTGTATGCAATTTATTTACGAGTTCTAGTACTAAAACTTCTTGAGGTGGTACGAGATTTGCTGCTAGAAGTACACTAAAGAATTTACTTACATAAAATGTGATCCGAAAGGGTAGACTCGAGCAGATCGGGCTGCAGATATTTGCACAGGGCCCCCAAACAACCGGCAGCACACTTTCTGACAGTGTCTTCTGGCGTTCCGAGATAAATGAGCAGGGTGGCATGCACTTGCCTTTTGACAGGTTCGGACATTTTATTCCCAGCTGGCGATATGATGCCTCTGAGAGCATGTAGTGTTGTTTCCCTGAAATGGAAAAAAAATGAGTGGGGTGTCGCACATTCCAACCGAATTCTAAGAAATGGGGCAATCACCTCACACTCTACAGTAACTTATTCTGAAGATTCGGCCTAAACAATCGGGATTCATGGGTTAACAAAATAATTTTTTTGAATGATGCTATACAGGGTGTTTCGAAATTCGACCAACAACGCTTGACAGGTGATAGCCCTCGTGATTTCATAATCACTGAGATAGGGACATACGGTCTTCAAGTGTAGTAGTATTTCATCATTTTCAGTAGTAGAAAATTGCAAAAAATGTTTCCTGGTGTTGAGTAGATTAGATACTATTCAGATCTTATTATGTAGCTGAACAGAAATAGTTATTCCACGCATAAAGAGAAAACAAAATTTTTGTAATCTTCTACTACTGAAGATGAAAAATTACTATGCAAACTTCTATTTTGGGTCAAATATCTCGATAACTGTTCATTTTAGCTCAGTTGAAGATGATGCAGTTTTTCAACATCATTGAACAATCAATTCGAGAAACTGGAAATAATCGAAATGTCATCAGTGGCGTAGAAAATATGGGAGGAGTGTTATCACAACCCTCTGTAGCGCACTTTCTCAGGGTAATATTCTCGGAATGTCTTTCTGGTCAAAAAGTTAACCATCGAAAGATGAAACCATATACCGAATTTGAATGCATTATATTGAATTTTTCTTGAGATATTGCAAAAAACCTATTTACATTTCTTAACTTCAACGCCTTGTATCTCGAGAAGTGAACACTTGAAGACCGTATGTCCCTATCTCAGTGATTATGAAATCACGAGGGCTACCTATCACCTGTCAAGCGTTGTCGGTCGAATTTCGCAACACCCTGTATATTCTGAGACAATGTCTTTCGGAGTTTCGAGATACATGAGTAAAGTGGCACCATCAACATAAACTACTATCTAGATCGCCAATGCCATAAGAAATCGAACTGGATCGTATGAAGCATGCACATTTGGGAGCTGTCATATATCTTAATCTTACTCAGATGATATCAAATTATTTCAACTCTAAATACTGTTGTTCTCTTTATACCTATCGCTCTTTGTAACGCGGAACTCCTGATTATGCTGAAGGTTGCCTTCACTAAATCCAAAACATGTCCCTAATTGTTTTACGTCATTGAAATTTGTGGAAATTACTTGGAGTATCCCTTCTTTCCTTCAAAATTTTTGACGTTGACGTTGAAGTATGGAGTGAAAAGTAAGTTTTTTGCAACAAAATGATTTTTTCAATTTGACATATCTAATGGTATTTTCATCTTCTGAGCTTGAAGGCCTAATTATAGGTAAACCACAAGGTCTCATTTTGGCTGAAGTAAGCTAAAGATAAGTAGGACAAACAAGAAGACCTACTGAATTACGGTTCAAGGAACATAATATTGTGTTCAACCACAATCAAAACATACATATTGCTATTAACTAATTGATGTTAGGAAATAAGAGAGCAATAATAGATAGGCGTATTCCTTATAGTTCGTGATAGAATGACCAACGAAATACGTGACGAGACATGAAAAATCGTTTTGGTTAAAATGTGTCATGAATGGTAGGAGATTATGTTTTGATTGTCTTTATTACCCCAAGAAACATAGTTGTTTATAATAGGGATACATAAACATTATACATAATGTTATACATACAATTATGAAATTATAATAAGATATAACAAGTTAAAAAAAAAAAATGCAAATAATCATGCAATATCAACCTAGTCTTTTATAAGTAGGTATTCAAATAAGAAATGGAATTATCAAAGTCTCTGAAGCAGATATTTTTTTAAGTTAATTTTGAATCTAGTTGCTTCCTGTATATTCCTCAAATGACTTGGTAATGAGTTGTATAGAACGATTCCTGTGTGAAAAATTGATTGTTTGCCGATATTTGACTTGAACGTATTTGCTATTAGTAAATTTGATTGTCTTGTTCCATGATTATGTAATGAATTGATTTCATTGAAATTTAAATTCGAAATTTTCAACTTATAGTACATAATCAAAGTGTAACATGTAGATGTGGGAAAGTGGAATGATGATTTTATGAGACTTCTTACTTGATAGAGATATCTTCTGTGTTTTTCACTGTGTTGTGGAGTTCTGTGAAGAGGGGATCAGCTCTCTGATGGATTCCAATCAGATAACCCAGAGCGGCGGCCGATTTCAGCCTGACGGAGCGGTTCGGATCGTTCAAGGCTTTCACAAAGGTCGTTTGCAGTTGCGGCAAGAATTGTTTGAGCATAATTCCCACCTAAAATGCCAATGTAAATATAAACCTTCTGATTGTTCCTAAAAGATTCTCCAATCCTGCGTTCATGAAATGTTATAAGATTATGAACTTACATAATATGACGTATTCATCACAATCAGAAAAGGTACAGAGAGTTCTTTTTTATTTATTCTTGCTAGATTTACCAAAGAAATGCTCCTGTTGGAAATAGAAGGAAAATCGTCAGCGGTACTGACGTCACAAGTACTATAACGCGCCGATCGTTCATTGGTAGTCGAGGAAAATCGATAATTCACTATTCAGAGAGATTAACTGATGTCAAAATTGTCATGGATGAAATGAGCAAGACACTTCAAGACTTGCTTGTTCTTGTTTTCCCATGAACTGGATTGTGACATTTATGATTATGAAATAGATATGACAGTGATGTCATCAGAATTTGAGGTTCACTAAAATGAAAATGAAAATCATCTCGACAGTTCACAGTTAGATCGATTCGAAAATTGAGAGATATTTCATATTTCCTTGAAATATAACAGCTGGCAACACAGGAAAAAGGATTATGACGTCAGTACTGGATAGATTAGTTTGTCGCCTAACGCTATGTTTGAACGTTCCATGAAATTGTAGGGTATTCAAATGGTATTTTTTTATCTAATTCATTCATATCATGACATTGTGTCAGTTAATTAGGTCCAGATCCTATTTTCATTCATTTATCATCCACCTGCTATTAAACATGAACAAGTCAGTTAGGAAACCGAATAGTTTGATTAATGGACCTCTTTTCTATCAAATTTCAGATTCACTTGAAATAGAGAATGAAGTCAATGTAATTCATTATTTTAACGAATAACTAAAGAGTGGCTCAAAGTTCAGTAATTGAGATTGATAAGTAAGAGTATGCAAGCTCAGATATCTTAGTAACTAATAATTTGAAGGGTAACTCCCATGAAGTGAAGAATTTGCGCCTTCGAAGTGTGCAGCTGATGTTAGGTTGGATATTCGTTATTTTCATTCCATCACCTAAATAATCCAAGACTTACGTGTCCCAAAAGACGTATAGAGTTTCATTTCTCTTTATTGGATATTTCGTGTCCCAGTGTTGATAGAATAAGACTACTGGATCTGTTAAGCACTTTACTGTGACAGTAGTTGCGTTTTATTTGTTTTATTCTGGTAACGGTGATGGAAACAGAATGACGTTCACAAATAAAATGATGAGAAACTGCTTGCTTTATGAGCTTGCATGAGAGAATTGAAATATCAAAGATGATAGAAGTTATTGGGGCTCCGAAAGCCAAAGAAGCCACTTTAGCAGTTTTTGCTACATCTGGGGGTGTCAAAGTAAAATTTTCATCCATATCCATTTTTCTTTTACTACCAACTCAATAATATTATACTTTGGCAGCGCGAAATACCTCAGGAAAACATTTGAATTCGTGTAATCGTGTATGCTTGGTTGTCTATGCTACTATAGTGCATTAATAGACAAATCGTTCATTAATAGGGGTCATAAATGAACGATTTCATATAGTCGTTAATACGAGGTCGACGAAAAAAGCTTTTAATAATAAAAAAAGACTAGAATCATGTCTCACCTTGGCCAGCAACACCGCCAGAGCCTCCAGCACGGCCGTCTTCACGTTGGCGCTGAACCGGTCGCCCAATATCCTGATCAGCGGCCCAGTGATCGACACGACGCTCGGCTGCAGCGCCTGCGCGCTCGTCACCGCGATCACCTCGCCCAGCCCGAGGGCGGCGCCCTCCTTCTCGTCCCCGTCGCCGTTGAGGATGGCCTCGCGGAAGATGGGCAGCACGGGCGCGATGCCCTTGGGCAGACAGAAGCCGGGCAGCAGGTCGGAGGTGCCGCGCATGTCCGACATGGCGTAGCGGACGGCTTGGCGCACGTCCGACACGTACGTCGCTTGCTGCTTGGCTTCGAGGGTCTGAAAATATGATGATATACAAAACAAAGAGATAATAATACACTCACCGGCAACAAAAAACGGACAGCAGAAGAGTTTGCTGAATGGATCGCCCTGTAACTTTCTCAGTAATTGTTCAATTTTGATTGAGTTTCGACCAAATCGTAGGTTCATGTTTCGAAATTTTAACCCGACTTGTAGTAGAGTCACTGAATGGTATTATTTAGATAAGAGCTCGGACATAGCTCAACTTCTGTCCTTTCCTATTTTTTATATTACAATGGTTTGAGTGCCTTTTCAATTTCCTTAGTAGCTTTCGTCATATTTTAATGAACTACTAGTTCATCATAGTTTAATACTAAAGAACCAGTTATGGCTTTCCACTAAAATGATGTATCCATATTGAATCGACTCGTGGTTTAACGTCAATGCATTCGTGGTCAAGTCACTGAATAACAAAAATTCTGAAGGGTACCTGCCAAGCAGTAATGAATGGACTTATATCAAAAAAAAAGTATTTCATAATTAGATAGAACTCACCCAAACTAGCTCACCACCGCAAACCGTTTCTTGCTGTGAGCTCCCTACGTTTCAAAAAAAATTATTGAAATCCCCGATTTTTCGGACCTCTGAAAACGAGGCGATGATGTGACGTCAAAACCCTAATACTGAAACAAGACCATTCCAGACAGAGATGAATGATACATGATTTCTGACAGAGTGAATTAGCGCGAGATCACAGTTGAAAGAATTAATATATCAGTTGCCCCAGTCTCCGTCGGGCGTTTGGTATTTTCTTTTAACTATGGCGAGATGAGGTTTCTACGTCATAAGAGGCTCCGTTTTCAGAAGGTACTATCATTTATGTCCAAAAATAAAACAATCCAGTTAATTTTTCGATCGAATTATGTCGTCAATCATTATTTATGTATAAAGGATCATTATAAACATGGTTTGAGTTAAAAGTTCTACTAAGGTGTACCCGCCCATTGTCGCGCTCGAAGTGCCCACGAGTTTCAAAAGACGGATTCTAATAATTAATATTCAAGATTCCGACGTATAATTTCATGTTAGATTGTTGGATATTTTGTGTCCAAGGGCAACCGGGTGTGCGTGGCATTACGAAGTAAATAAACGGGGGTAACAATCAAAGATGCCGACAGAAAGTAGTGCGATTACTGGATCGTCTATACTGAGCCTCTGTTATAATTAAGCCGAATTCACTGTTCTCATACGTGATTTGCAGGAATGCCACTCGGAATCTAGTAGGTATTTATTAATAACTACTTGCCATGTGCAGTCAGGGTCATGGCTACTAGATTTTAATTAGTATTCAAAATAATTGCTTTCATAGTGACAGTAGGTCCACATTTCAGAACTACAGTTCTCAACACACTAAATGGACTACTCATAATTTGACTCTATTTCGAAGACCTGTATATTTTGAAAAAATTGACCGATCTTCGTGCGGTTTTCGATATCAGATGTGATGTTTCATCGGTTTTGAAGAGAGCTAAATCACTCTGGAAAACTCTGCAGAACAAAACTTACACAGGGTGTAAAGTGGAACCATTACACTATGGTCTACATTTCCAATGCGGCCGGAACTCGAGAAATTTTTTTCTGGTCGAAATATGATATTAGTGAATTCTTCAGCATTATGAAGATCCACCTAAAAAGTTCTATATCCTGAATTTCAGTACTCAGTAGGGCCTCCCCGATTTAACAAATCCTCATGAAATCGGTTTGGCATAGGTCTATGAGGTTGTTGATGAAGTCTATTGGTATTGCCTCCCATTCTTCTGATATAGCTTGGATAAGGTTGTCATTATTTTGGGGTGCCTCTCACCTTCTCAATAGGTTAAGTTTCATTCGGCTCCACACATGTTCAATCAAATTTAGATCTTGAGATAATGCTCGTCACCACATTCTTTCTAACATTATTGTTTTCTAGAGTAATTTGTCAGATAAGTTGTGAAACACTCATATTGGGCAATGAATATTGGAAATCAGTTGATGAAATGATGAGAATCTCCGATATCAGGAAACAAGTTTGAATTGAAAATTTTCATCCTATATTTCAATTAGAGGCGAATTTTCGAAAACGTCTCGAGTTAATAGTCCAATAAAAATAATGGATATCGAGAAGGTCGTTTCTGAATATACTGAATCGAATATGCCATGGATTTAGTCACCATTTTTCATTTTTTTTACTGAAATGAGATTTTGTCCTATTTTCTTCTCGAGTTCTGACAGCAATGGAAATGTAGACCATAGTGTAATGGTTCCATTTTACACCCTGTGTAAGTTTTGTTCTGCGGAGTTTCCCATAGTGATCTAGCTCTCTTCGAAACCGATGAAACATCACATCTGATATCGAAAACCGCATAAAGATCGGTCATTTTTTCAAAAAATACAGGTCTTCGAAATAGAGTCAAATTATGAGTGGTCCATTTAGTGTGTTGAGAACTGTATAATGGTTGAAATATATTGCTAGTGGTGAAAAAAATTAAATATACACTTTGGTAGTAAATAACCATTGTTATAAATTTCGAAATCGAACCGAATCTCACCTTGGTGACGGCGTTGAGCGCCTCCCACGCCATCCTCAGCACCTCCTCGTCCTTATCCGTGCACAGGTGGATCAGCCCTCTGAGCAGCTGCGGCACGTGAGCCGCGTACTTGGCCGTCGAGTTGGCGCAGAAGGCGCACAGGAGGGTGGCGGCGGCGCGACGCTGAGCGGCGTCGTCGCTCTTCGAGTTCTCCAGCATGGTGTCGATGATGGTGCGGACGCCGACGTCGTCGACGACGGAGAGGACGACCGCTTGGCAGTACTCCAATTGCTGGAAATACAATTATTGGAGACTTTTTGATTGCCGACCGAGTTGCGACCTCTTGAACCACACTTCGACCGCATCCAAGAGCACTTCAAGGATATTAGATGGATGACCATTATAGATCCTTCACCTATGTGTATTTATTTATTTATTTATTTATTACAAAGTAGGGATACAAACAGACAAAATCCAACTAGTATCCTCTTATTAGGTAATCAAATAGTGAGCTAATAATAGTGAACATATATCGTAGACATTATAACTGATACAATATTAAAATACAAATATATGAACAATATAAACATTATATGAACGATACGATTAAAACGTTATCTGTAGACGAAAGTGCGTGTGAATTTTCACCATCAATTACAAAAATGAGGAGAATGATGAAATATCCTCCTTTCAGAAGAACAATTCTAAAATGTATATATGAAAAAAAATGTGGGATACTAAGCAAAATATACTAGACAATGGTATAACTGCTCTGAAGGAATGTAACAAACATTTGTTTCCTAACATAAACATTCTTCTGGAACTATTATGTTGCCTGTCTGTAAGTGTTGCATCTTCTGAAAGGAGTTTTTCAGCACTCAGAAGGCTGAAAGATTGGATAAGATCCAGAATGGTTCAAGACAGGTTAAATGTCTGAATGTTGATGATATCATCCAAAGATACGCTAGTCAGAAGAATAGAGGACTGGAATTTGTTATTTAGTTTTTAAAATTTGATTCTTTAGGAATATATTTTTATTTACTTTTTCATCCAATATGATTTATTGCAGAACTCTACATATATGGATTACATGGAATAGTTTGAACTTGTTTTTTTACACCAGTAATTTCGATACTTGAAAGGAAACTAAAGATTTCATGTTTACTAGTATCAATTTTTTTAATGAAAAAGCATTTGTCTCAGAAGGTAACCATAGGATTTCTCTTCCGTGCTAACCTTATTGAGCCGTGACTTTTTATGCCCCCCTCCCCTCAACTCAAAGAAGTGGCAAGGGCATCTTTAGTCCTCAAAATGAGTGACTAGAACTGCCTATATTTAAACAAAAATAGCATTACGTTATTGGATGATTCACTTGATGAATTCATCATCTCATAGATACCGAGTGTAAACAAATCTAAACTACGCAACACTAATTTCGTCGCACCCCAAAATTTTGCTCAGAACGATTTGAAATCGGATCACACTGTTCGCTAGCCCAGTCCTTCAGCTATAATCTCGTAATTCTTTGAAGCATAAGGTTAACGTGCAAAATTTCGGAAATTTCAAAAGTATCCCAAATGAAGAAAAACCCTTTTTCTGAACTTTGACAGTAGAGGCATGTAGATGATCTTGAGACAGTTCTCGAATTGTCTCCTTATATCTTTTATTTAGAGAGTGATCTCGAAAAATTAGCTTTTTGGTTTTGCAGTCATAACTTTTTTCCTCGTCAACCGATTTTGGAATCTCAGGCTCATTTTGAAGCTTAAACTTCAGATGAAGAGATATGAAGATCAGAATTGACTCAAGATGAACATCATACAGTGTCTCACTTCTAATGGAAGCACCCCTGTATCTTTCGTAATTGTTGAGTTAGGATTCTGAAATTTGCAAGAGCGGTAGATATACTGAAAATACACACTATGACCAAGTGGAGTCGTCTCCAGTGATATACACTGCTCGCCAACAGCCATGGAACCACCCACAAAAATGATATAAGGAGGCAAGATAGGTTGAAAATCACTTCGGATTCAAAATCAGGACGTCCCTTTCGCTTCCTCCTGCAAATTTCAGAACCCTACCTCAATAATTACGTGAGATACGGGGGTGCTTCCATGAGAAGTGAGACAAAATTTAATTTTTCTGAACTGAACATTTTCCAGGAATAATATGTATAGTCAGTGAATTGGACGTCCTGATTTCGAATTTGAAGTGATTTTCAACCTATCTTGGCTCCTAATAACATTTTCCGGAGATTTGGGTGAATCCATGGCTGTTGGCGAGCAGTGTTTATCACTGGAGATGACTCCACTTGGTCATAGTGTTTATTTTCAATATATCTCACACCCCTATAAGTTTCAGAATCCTAACTCAACAATTACGAAACATACAGAGGTGCGTCCATCAGAAGTGAGACACACTGTATAATTTTCATCTTGAGTCAATTCTGATCTTCATATCTCTCCATCTGAAGTTTGAGCTTCAAAATGAGAATTTAGAAACGGGTTGACAAGGAAAAAAGTTTTGACTGCAAAACCAGAAAGTTAATTTTTTGAGAACACTCTAAATAAAAGAGATAAGAAAACAATTTGAAAAATGTTTCTAGGTAATGAGATCATCTTCATACCTCTGCTGTCGAAATTAAAAAAAAAAGTTCTTGCTCATTTGGGATCCTTTTGGAAATTCCGAAATTTTTCATAGTTTCAGGTGACACCCTGTAGCGCTTTCATATGAAGAACCTCTTGTTTTGAAGAGGTACTAGATTATAGCTGAAGGACTGGGCTAGCGAACAGTGTAATCCGAATTCAAATTGTTCAAAGTATAAAAAAGTTATTCATATTTTGACAGGGACAAAATTTTGGAGTGCGACGAAATTAGTGTTGCGTAGCCATAACTTCTGGAATAGTGGGGGTATCTGAAGGAAAATCGAGATGGTATGTGAAAAGGAAAGTTTTCGCACATTTTTCAGTATACCATATGCTGTAATACTTCAATTAATCATTCAGGGATTGAAATCGGTTCAGAAACGTTCAGAAGCTGACCCTTTAACGCATCAAAAGGCCTATTCAGTATCTCATAACGTTATCGTTACGTATCGTTAGTGAATGACATACCGTTGAATAACGATACATCTCTTAGTATAACACAATAAACATATCCGCCCATCCACCGGTTTAATGCTGGAGATGGATGCAGTCAGTCTTTTCAAATCTTCAGAAGAGTTTCAGAGAAGATAAGTATGAATATTCGTGGACAAGTGAATAAACGCTAATAATCCATTGGAAAGTCCTGACGAAAACTTTCGGAAGGATTGTCGGTTAACCAGAGAGCTAGTTTGGGAGGTCCTCTCATAATATGTTGCAGCATTCTAGGGAGGCCTGTTGTAGGAATACTAGTAAACTTTCAGTTAAACATATAATTGATGAGTACATACTACTGTTGTATCTGTTGTTACCAAAAATCTATAGCAAAGACAAATCATATGCTATGTTCCAAGCCTCAATAAGCAGATTTGTCTATGAAATATCAGGCATACTTGTATGTATGTATGTAACGGTTCCCGTTCATTTTGGTCCTACGCCAAAGCTGTAGGAAGAAAATTCAGTTCCAGCTCGTTTCCTCCTCTAACCAAGGAAGATGGAACACTAGCCACAACTGCCCAGGAGAAAGCCAACATTTTTGCGCATTTATTTGCTGGAAGCCACGGACTCTTCGCCAAGCTTCCATCTTATGGCTTGCCTCCCCAGCTATGTTCTCTGCTAGCTAGTTTTCTCTCAAACAGGTCTCTCCATGTAGTGGTCGAGGGACTTTCATCTGACTCTCGTATCATGCATTCTGGTGTTCGGCAAGGATCAATTCTAGCACCAACACTATTACTACTCCATATCAACGATTTGTTGGAAGCAACTTCATGTCCAGTACACAGCTTCGCGGATGATAGAACCCTTCATACCGCCTTCTCTTCCAGGGCTCCAATACCAGCCAGGCAAATCAGAAACGAACGAGGGAGAAATGAAGACAACATAAATAAACTTGGACTTGGCAACAATTCTCGAATGGGGATCCCATTACTTGGTAGATTTCAATGCAAACAAAACACAAGCATGCCTTTTCTCTAGAAAAGCCCATCTCACTGTATCCAACATAAGCTTGTCAGGAGAAACCATACCTTTGAAGACATCCATTTCGATGCTTGGTATTACTATCAGCAATAACCTTTCTTGGGAAAATCACGTGAGATCAATTGGTAAAAGTGCATCCCGAAAACTTGGTTTTCTGTTTCGGGCCAGGAGCTATTTCACTTCCAGTCAGCTACTTATGATCTATAAGGCACAGATCCGACCCGTCCTGGAATACAAACATACCCTGAAACTGAAGGGCAATTCGTCTCGTGGGTGATGCCTTGCTCACAATCTCACTCACTTCTCTGGAACACCGTAGAAAAGTTGGCGATCTGGCTCTATTTTCGCAGTCCCCGCGAGATTAACCCGACGAGTGGAGGCTTCGCACCCCTTCGTGGTCACTTTGGAAACCTGCAGAACATCTCTTTCCAAAGACTCGTTCATCCAACGTACAGCGAGGCTCTGGAACAGATTGCCAAGGGAGGTGTTCCCCGAGGCATATAACTTCCAGAGATTTAAGAAGAACACCAATTCCTGCCTTATTTCCCTTGGTTCTCACGATGTTCTCTGAACATTACAGGATGTCCCTTTTCGTGGGAACCACAACATAAAAAAAAATACAATTTCCTCACTATAATAATTCCTCAAGATATTGTAGATGCTGAAACATTGGTATGATTGTGAGTCACAAAATATGTAGATTGCGAACCGAATTATTCAACTATAAATATTATCTCTTTTTAGTTTTTTTTCCAAAAGTTCGAGTTTCCCGGAACAAGTTTCTTCCAGGATATTGGGGTTTGTGGGATGATATACATGATAATTGATGATAATGTTTTCTCAGTTTATGACTAATAATGTCACCTTATGTCCTACTATCAATTCTGAAAATATATATTTCTTGTTACTCTGAATATTTCAGAGACATATTTTACAGAAAGAATTTTTTCTTCAAGTCGTTCGAATTGTCGTTACATATTGGGATAACGATAATTGTTATCTAATGACTTTTTACTGAATTGGCCTGTAAAATGCAGAATTCCTTATGTTTGCTTGCCACAATTGATCGTTAATAGACAATCGACAAACTGGTCCTTGGTAGCATCGACGAAAAAGTTCATTATTTGCATATTTAAGGAAACAAATCAGGTAATAATAAAAAAATCACAATTTAATCGAAAAAAAATCTAGATTCACTCAAAATTATCTGAAATCAACTACCTCCGATTCTTGTGGGGTGCCCCTCGAAGTGGCCAGCGCCGCTTGCAGCGCGGGCAGGATGCGCGGCAGGTACTTGTTGAGCGCCTCGCCGGCCACCGACGCCAAGATGGACAGCGCCTTCGTGTTGGCGGGCGGCGCGGTCAGCTGGGGCACCAGGTAGGGCAGCACCACTCGCGATTTGATCGCCATCACTTGCCGCAGGCCGTCCAACGTCCATTCGACTACGTCCGGGTCCTCGTCGTTCTAAACAAAGAAAATTGGCTATGTGAAACAGTGGTTGAATCAATACAATACGAGTTATTTATGGTACTAGTGTGTTATGTTGAAAATAAGTCACGTGAGGAATATTTAAACCACGAGGCCGTTAGGCCGAGTGGTATAAATTCTCAAGTGACTTAGGAAACATAACAGAAGAGTGACATACAATATTTGCGTTTTATTGGCATTGCCAGCATCACCAGTGGGACAGAAGCGCCGTTTTATTGACAATTCTGTGTAACACAAGAAGAAGAAGAAGAAGAAGAAGTAGTTTATTTGAAATAGGATGTCCTAATATACAACAACAAAAATTATACAAAAAAAAAATTACATACTAGTTCACAACAATTAAAAAACATACATAATATATAAAAATATAAAAATCACAAATATTAAAAGGTAAAAATAGTTGAAAATAATTCATTTTTTTTTAAATATGGGTACCTATATATAGTACAATCCATTGTAAAGATAATACTTTATGGCATAAATTGACTGGGCACCAGGGAAAATATTGAGAGATCAATTATTTCTTTTTTATAAGTTGTTTAAAATCCCTTTTGAAAATATTCAGTGACTCACTATTTTTCAGTGACGTAGGCAATTTGTTGTATTCATTGAAACCTTTGAAAAATAATGACTTCATGGTATTTGAATTATTTGTTCTTGTAATATGCAGATTATTCTTATTCCTCGTAAGGTAATTATGAACTTCTGCATTGAAAACTATGTAATTCTTGAAATATGGAAGAGCCAGATTGTTCAAAATTTTGTATATAAAAATCATACTAAGATAATATAATCTTTGGGAAACTGTGAGCCATTGAAGTGTATCCAGCATAACATCAATTGGGGTATAACGGTTTTACTTCATTATGATACGCATTCCACGATTTTGGAGCTTTTGAAGCTGGGATAGTTTGTTGAGGTTAAATGTATATAAAATTGTTGCACAGTAGTCAAAATGCGGTTGAATAATGGTCTTATAGACAGTGATTTTGGTTTCCATTGATATATTGTTTGCAATTCTTGAAAAGAAATATAGTTTTTTAGATATTTTATTCTTTATGTATTCAAAATGATCTTCAAATGATAAGGTATTATCTAGCTGGAAGCCCAAATACTTTACTGTTTTGATTATTTCGATTCTTTCATTACTCATCATCAAATTTATGTCGTCAAAGAGGACACATGTACATATAACTCATGGAAATATTCAGGAGTCAATCTGAAATGTCTTTGTATTGAATCTTGGTATAACAATCTCATGAAAATGTTCAATTTTTTGGGCTTCTTCATTAAATATTCTGAAAAAGGTCAGTATGGAACATTCATCGTCCTGGATTTAATTTTGTCATCTTATGAATCCATAATTTCATGAAGAATGTCGCTAGGTAGGTGACAAATATGAGTTTCAATGCACTTTCCATTTTCATAATATGGTGCTCACTGCATGATTCACTACAATATTCTCCATTAATATATAGGTACTATCAAAATTTGATAATATCGAATAACACCAATGTCTAGGGAATGATTATTGATTAGTCATAGTTAGAAATTCCCACGTACCTACCCCACTGCCCGCACGTATATACCAAAACCATTATCCAATATGTATCATCAATCCATGGATCCAATCCAAAGATCCAAAAATTGATTTAAACTAAACGTTGATGTCTTTTATTGATGATTATTATGTCATTTTGATTGCATTTGGTTTTCACAGGGTTGTAATCAAATTTATGTCATTCTTCATTCTTTGCCGTTTTATTCGTTCCTACCCAATTCTTGCACCAGAGATCACAAACAAACGCGACTAATGTTTTATCCAACAAGTGGAAGAAATCGATTTTTTATGAGATAATAATTAATAACTTTTGTGATCAAATCAAAGCTACCGCGTCTCAGTACCCTATAAATGTCAGAATTACTTGACAGTGACTTTTTTACATTCTGGTTAAAGTAGGTTGTTTGTTAGGTTGCCACAGCATGATACATAGGTCTTCCTTAACAACAATGCCGGAACTTTTCAATATTTTTTTTTACTTTTATACACCATGTTTTTGTAGAACACTGCCGAAAATTTAACCAGGATAGCTCGTTCTTTATTTTGTATATACTTCCCAACTCTATAGCAAGTATCCAGATGGCAAATGTCATTTTACGAATTACCTCCACACAATTCTCACTTTTATTCTCATATACACCATAGAATCGGCTATTTCTGCTTCTAACATGCTGATCATGTTTTTCAACTTTCTCAGTTAACGATTGTAGCAATATTTCTTGATTTTGTAGCTTTTCCTTGAGTTTCTTGTTACCTTGCTTCAGAGTATCGATCTCTTTGCTGAATTTTTGTGTTATTGTTTCGGTTATAGAGGCTGTTATGCTGTTTATGAATTCTTCTGAACTACAAAGCTTAATAACCACACTCTTTACTGTTGAGTGCAGTTCGTCTTCAGCCTTCCTATTGGCTCTGCTCATAATGAAAAAATAGTTGCACTTACAGTTATTTCTGATGATGATGATTCAAAACAAAAATGAAATCACTAGAACACAATCACTAAATGTGTTCAGACACGCCTTTATACCAGCAATTATAGAATTAATGTCGCACTGTGCAAGACTCGTCTATTTCAGCAGACACATGGAAATCATGAGATGATTAAAAGAGAAAGGAGCTATGATCTGTCCGTACCCTGTTAGATGACAAATACGTCAGTTTGCATCAAGGGATCCTACCGCCACCTACTGAAGAAATTGTTACTATGAACCATCAAGGATTATAGGCAGTTTAATAATAATAATAATAATAATAATCGCTTTTATTGATAATAAGTATGGAAATAAATACATGGAACATATTTACATAAAAAAAGTTACTTACTATCAAAAGGCAGAGTTAGCGTTTACCCATGTGCGAAACGGGTAAATACTTTCTTACACTCAACCAGTGAAGGAAAAGAAATAATCAGTATTTATACAATATCAAAAATAATATGAGAAAAACAATACTGTCAAAATGAAAAAAAGGAGAAAAAAAAAATTATAATATATAAAAAATAGAACTTTATAATAATGAGTTTGACACACAAGAGAGAAAATAACAAAACACCCCTGTCAAGTAATATAGTATTAGATCACATAGATAGTGGAACTGTACATTGATTATAATAATATTCAAAATTGTAGAGTTAGAAAAAAAAGGGAAGTTTATAAATGTATATCATCCGTTGAAAGAAGTTTTTTCATTTTGTTCTTGAATAGTGCAATAGAAGTTTTTTTCAGATCATCTGGAACCTTGTTGTATAGCCGTGAGATCATATAGGAAAAGGAGGACTGATAGAGAGTAGTTTTATGCACAGGTGGTGTCAATTTCGACTTGAATCTAATATTAAGGTTGTGAACGTCTGTTCTGAAGGATATTTTTTCAAATAGGTATGGTGGTTTCTTCTCAAGGATGATTTTGTGATATAGCACAGATGAATGTAGAAAGATTCGTTCGTTCATATATTTACGTTTCAAATAATCTTCTTTGGCGTAATCCTGGGAAAACAGTACACCGAGTTTTTTCAAGTTGGCATTTCTATTCCGAGAAGTGGTGAGGATTTGAGTTTTCAAAGTGAAGTTAGATACTTCAGCAATAATTGATCTTGGTTTATCACCATTATTTTTTCCTATTCTGGTAACGAAACGAAAATCGTGATTTTGACATGCGATACTCAATTCCTTATTAATGAATTTCACCAAATCAGAAGAAGTGTTGTTTTCTTCACCAACTAATCCATGGATAATAATATTGAATTTTTTTGATCTTCTTTCAGTCTCGAGAAGGCGTTGCTTCAAAGTTTCATTTTCTTCTTCCAAGCATTCAATTTTGGCCTTCAGCGTCGAGACATCAGCGCTAAGAGATGTTTTCAACTCTAATATCTCGTTTTTTATGTCCTGGTTGCTTCTCACAATTAGTTCGAAAAGGTCATCGATGGTTTTTGACATTTCCTTAGCGTGTAAGACGAGTCAAAATAATTGAGAGCAATGCCACTCTGAATAGAGTACAAAACAATCATGCAATGTATAAGAAATCTGTTTCGCTGTTTGGCTATACACTACCAGAGTTCAAAATTGTTTTTATTGTTTCACAGAAACAATTCGATCAGCTGTATTTGGCGAGTTCGTTCAACCGGAGGACAAAAAAAGATGGAATCTTCTTTGTGGATTTCCCTTATCAGCTGATTCGTTTTAGACAATAATGGGCCTTGGGTACTCACAGATAGAGACTAGAATATGTTTCCATCAATAACTGCACTTGCACTAACTTTCTCTTGAAAAATCACTCGAAATACTATTCACTGATGGATTCACTTGAGAATTGTGCAACTTGGATGAAATTATTCCAGGATTATCCTAGGTGATATATAATCTTTGTGGAGCGTATTAACCCTTTCAGTCACGACTTTTCATTTTTTCAGTAAAATTTTTTTCGTGAAAATGGGGTTTGAAGTGATTTTTTAAATGATTTTTGAGAATTTTTTGAAGTCCGTACGGCCTTGATTTTTCTAAAAAAAAATCATGTTCGTTTCAACGAACATGGTGACTCTACGAGAAGGAAAGGAAATGAATAACTACAACATGTAATACATAAATGTACAGGGTGGCCAACTAAGAATCCAGAGTTCGATACCTCTGTTGTCTTGATAGATACAAAAAAAAGTTTCGCATTCAAATCAAAGTGATAACCGAGCTTCACATTTCAAAATTTCTTCGAAATACACAGGGTGTTCCGTAAGGTCACAGCACATCAAAGCTATGTTTTTTTCATTGGAACACCCCATATTTCATTTCATTTTTGAATTCTTCCTGAAGATCTGATTTCAACGACGTATTATACTTAGGGTCTAGCAGTGGAAGTTACTGACATATAGCCTGTGCAAAATCGAGATTTTCCAAGTTCAGGATTTTTTTCTATTGAAACTGTTCATTACTCGTCAAAACGGTTTACATGTCCCCATCTCAACTTTTCACTGACTATCAATTGGTGTTCAATTGACATTTAATTGAAACAAATAATAAATTAAGATTTTTTGACCACCTTGTATCAATTTCAATTGAACACCAATTGATAGTGAGTGAAAAGTTGAGATAGGGACATGTGAACCGTTTTGACAAATAATGAACAGTTTCGACAGAAAAAGATTCTGAACTTGGAAAATCTCGATTGCGCACACCCTATATGTCAGTAACTTTCACTGCTAGACCCTAAGTATGATGGGTCGTTGAAATCAGATCTTCAGGGAGAATTCAAAAATGAAATAAAATATAGGGTGTTCCAATGAAAAAAACATAGCTTTGATGTGCTGTGACCTTACGGAACACCCTGTGTATTTCAAAGAAATTTTGAAATGTGAAGCTCGATTATTGAATGAATTTTGATACATGACTTTTTTTGTATCTCTCAAGACAACAGAGAAATCGAACTCTGGAGTCTTAGTTGGCCACCCTGTACACTACATTTCATACAATTAAAATGTGTTTTTTTGAGGCAAGCTCCATTTTTGCACCTTGCTCCATCCCTACTTCCATCAAATATTGGTAAATTGCCCACTTCATCGAGTCACCATGTTCGTTCTAACGTACATATGATTTTTCTCGAATTAGTGTATAAAAAAATATGATATTTGATCATTTCGTTTTTATATAATGAACATATGAGGCATTGAAAAATGAATTTTGGAACTCAAATTCACTTACTATTTTATCAAAACAAACACGAGAAATGTGTTCATGAACAATAACAGCTGACTCACTGTACACACAGAAGGTAAATAAGCGAAACTTGTATAATATCCCGAGAGATAGTGCTACCTATATCAGTCATTGAATATAAAGGTCCCTCGCGTCTGATGTGGTGTATAAATGGAATGATAGGTGTCGCCTCAATTTACTATTGGCACGAAAAGTACATGTTCGTTTTAACGACCATGGTGACCGAAAGGGTTAAAATACGTGTGCCGTGTACGAATGATCGAATAATACTTACCAGCTGATTCAACAAAGCGGGCAGGATGTCATCCAGCGCCCTCGCCCCTACCGTGGCGTGCAAACTATCGAACGTACGCGCAGCCGCCCGTCGCACTTCGGGCAGCGGGTCGCACAGGGCCTTGCGCACCGTCGGCACTAGCGAGTGCACGAACGTGAGCACCATCTCGCGGGACGTGGACGCCATGATCTCGGAGAGGCCGATGCAGACGCCCTGGCGCTGGTCGGCGCGCGGCGACCGCAGACCGCGTTCCAGGATGGGGATGATCTCGGGCAGGACGCGCTCGCCCAGTTTGCGCACGAGGTCGCCCAAGGTGCGGGCAGCCACTTGGCGCTTGTCGTAGCTGTCGCTCGCCAAACATCTGTAGAATGTGGTGTATATGATTAGATAATAATAACATTTATTGATCCCAAGAAGCATAGATGTTGTTTATGAATGAAATAGGAGACTTATGATGACTAGAGTCACTGGATGGTATTAGTTTGAAAAGAGTTCGGACACAGCTGAACTTTTGTCCTTTTCTATTTTCTATAATACAATGCTTTAAGTGAATAAAAGAATAAGACATATATTCTGCTCTTTGTCTTTTCAATTTCCCTAGCGCCTGATTGTCAGATACGATTTTAGAGGTTATATTTTCTGTCAAATCAATCATAGCCGTAGATGGACAATGGATATAGGGTACAATCACCCACTTCAATTTATAGTGATACACTTCTAGCAGAACAACTGTTATAAAAATGAAAAGAATGCATGTAACAACATTTTAATATTAGAAAATATACACATATGAATGAACTTATAGCTATAATTCCTTATTGTATGTGAAACTGTACTCCAGTGATGAGTATAAAACATGAAGTTATCAATATTAAATTAAAGGTAGGTATTCTCAATATACAGGAAGTAACATAAGTACGTTCAAGTGACGTATTCCTGAGACAATTTTAAGAAATAAAGTCTATATAAGCTTGTGTCCGAAAATGCTTCATTGCGGAGATACAGGATGTGGAAATACAGGAAACAAATCATTTTTCGATAAACATCTCATAGGAAAAAAGTAGTTTCTTCTGACGAGACCTACCAAATACTTGGTTTTATGGTTTTGTAAAGTTCTCAGCAACTTCACTTAGCGCCCTAGGAGCTAAGTAACATGGATCGATATAGAAAATATCTCCAAAACGATAACCTCCAGCGTAATTGAGGCCCTCATAATAATTCCCTTGATACATAAATAACTATTCACTTTTCACTGTTAAATTTTGAATTTGGTCGGCACCAAATACGCCATTCAATAATATATCACGTTGTAGTTCACTTGCTTATCTTAGTTTCGTTTTCAAATTTTCTATTTCATTATGTAATTTTGCGATCCTTTCCTCTTTTCCCTTGATTATTTTGTTTTGTATTTTGTGTGATGATAATAACGGAATTTTGTTCTTGAAATCGTCTGCTTTGTAAATTGATGGAACAGCAGATTCTCTCAAACAGATTTTGAAATCTTCTGTTAGAAAATGGGCCTAAAATATAGTTTCATTCTAATCAGATGCTGTTATAAGAAGTGAATTTCAATGAGTACCTTACAAATTTCGCTCGTCTTCAAATTGGTTTTCCGCCCAGCCGTTTCATATCTTCCTTCCACAAGCGAATGGTTGATATTTGTTGGGAAATTGAATAAATTATATCCATTTTTTTCAGAATTGGCAAAATTTATTACACAGCAAGTGATTTCCAGAGCTGCTTTTTTCTCAAAAGTATAATTATGAAATTTTATTTCAATTCTGACGTTTATAAAATTTATTGTCAAGTTCAAACAATTTTGAATGAAAAAGCGCGGGACGACTATGGTGCTCTTGTCACAATGCAAGGTGTGTAACTTAATAAATCTAAACATTCAAAAACCCTAACCGTTGTCATTTCTGTGTCCGAACTCTTATCAAACTAATACCATCCAGTAACTCTAATGATGACCATATACGTATTGATGAACAATATGGATTATCTGTTTCCAAAGCGCAGGAGGAAGCCGTTTTTTGAAGACAAATGACTATCCATAAGCTCTAGGTGATATACTGTGTATGCTCAAATACGCAAGTTCAAATGACAGATCTCTGATATGACTATACCAGTAGCCATGCTACCCACTTTCAATTTTTTCTTTAGAAAGTGATAATTCCCCTTCAAATCTTCTGTTATGATTGATTCAAAGATGATGCATTTTTCCATTACTAAATAGTTTTCAAAGTCATCCATAAAAATATCATCAAACTACATCACGTATCTAACCAAAGCTTCGGACAGTTTTGTTAAAGTTATTTTTTTTAATATCACAAAAATGTCATAGTTATTTAAAAAACAATCATAAACTAGCAAACTTTCTGAAAGACACTTATATGACTTATTAAAGTGTTTTTTCGTTGGCGATCAGTAATATAATATCTTGAAAATTGCTCAATAACAATCATGAAAGAAATAACGTCAAACTTTTGATGCTGTCATTCGTTTTTCGGATGAATATGATTCGCATGTATGGAAATATTATCAATTTGGAAGCACGAAAATACCCGTGCAAACATATGACAAATGCATGAAAATGTTCCTTTAATTGAAACAGTTGTGTATTTAGATTTTTTGAAACTCTATGATAAATCAATATTCCAAGAGAGCGGAGGCCTCCCAGAAACAGAATAATCCTGCATGGTCATGAGTTAGAATGGTCTTTAGAAGTTAAATACTCATTTGGGCCCAGCAGAACATCAAGTTTCTAAAGCTAAACGATCCATATTGGAGCCCTGTATCCATTTCTAAATAGACGAGATGAATTAGGTCTGAGACAAACATTGTAAAATAAAATCTTCCTTCAACCGTGTTCGTCATTAGAGAATGAAACATCAAGACTTTCGAAAAAGCTGAGGTTTATGAGAATCAGCTTCTTTGAAATGCAATTGATTATAACCCAGGTTATGAAAGAAATTTCAAAAGACTGAGATTGTCCATAAACTATAGAAAATTCTTATTCTTCTCATGTTCTTGATATTTATTTGTTCCGTTCGATCTTTTTCAATTCTCAGAATGTATTTCTGTGTCTTATTTGGCGCAGAAGGGCTGTTCGCATCAAACTTCGATACCGTTTTTATTTTTATTTCTCTTCTTCCAGGATAGATATCAGGATAAGAGGGAGTCTTCCCTGGTCTGAATCAAATAAAAGAAAGATCCAATGTACATACTCATTTATCATACAAGGGAAAAAAGTATTAGATTTTAGCTCGAGGTTGTGCTGTGTCCCGAAGCATAGTGGAGGGATACGAAAAAGCGATAGCTAAAATCTAATATTTTTTCTTTGACAGAACAAACGACGATTCAATTTTGAGAAGATATTACATTGGTTGCGTTTTATTCATCAGATGCCGCCACCGGAATCACTTTAAGTGTCGTTTTATTTCTTTTTCCGATTCCGGTTGCTACTTCTCATTCCGTCTCGCTACAATGAATGACGTGGAATGACTGTTGAAAGTTGTCAAAAGTTAAATCAGATTGACCAAAAACGAAACTCTTTGAAAGTGGAATACATTAGGAGACATTTTTATCGCGAGGTTCGCTAGTTCATGATTCTTTCAAGTAAGACAGGCTTCATATCTTCATTTCAAGATGAAATGAATTCTCTATCCCTTGGGACTAGACCTCAATGAACTTTCTCTTACGACCACAATCACCGCTCCAAAAATGCGTCGATTCATTATTTTGATTTTTAACTCTAGTATTATGATTTTTATATTTTTCGGAGCCCTAATATATAAATATAACCTCAATCATCTATGATATGTCAATTCTCTTCATTCTACTTCCCGGACTAGTCTGGAAAAATGCTACTTTCTCAAAGAAAAAGCATCCAGGAAGTGAGCACTTCCGAGATGGTTGCTGAAAATAGTTATTTATGTATCAAGGGCGTAAAATAGGCTTTTATGGACCGCAGCGTGTAAGTAATAGACCGAGCGATAGCGAGGGCTATTAACATGCCTAGGTCCATAAAATCTAGTTACGCCCGAAATACATACAACATTTTATGCACGACCTGTATATATTTGATATCTCATGTAGGTATCTCTTCACCCCTCAAGCACAATAAAAATACATCACGGTTGCAGTGAGACTGTATTGTATCCATATCGCAAATACAATTATTCAAGAAGTATGGAATCAACGTTACCATGGCAACTCAGTCAATTTTTCGAAATAGGAATTAATAGGCCAGTAGCCATATTAACTGTCAATTTGTGTAATCATACAGAAGACAACAAATCCAAATATATCCATAACTAACTGTTCTGATTGTATTATAAATATCAAGTTATAACTCGTTATTTATGTTAATTGATTCGTTTTATTATTGTTGATAAAGTTTTGGGTTTGATCATATAATTACAGAAATATAAAGAAAATATTCAAATGAGCACTCCTGTATAATTCAGATCTATTTTCCCAATCATTTTGCATTAATTGAAACCATTGGAATCTAGATTTCTGTCGATATGACAGTGACATTAGCTTTACCACAGCTCGATGACTTTATCGCCCGCCGGGCGGTAAAGTAGTCCGCGGCCGGTAAAGTGCCATTTTACGCCCGCAAACCCGGGCGGTAAAGTGCTACCAAATCCAAATATATCCATAACTAACTGTTCTGATTGTATTATAAATATTAAGTTATAACTCGTTATTTATGTTAATTGATTCGTTTTATTATTGTTAATGAAGTTTTGGGTTTGATCATATGATTTTGCATTACAGAAATATAAAGAAAACTTTAATATTCAAATGAGCACTCCTGTACAATTCAGATCTATCTTCCCAATCATTTTGCATTAATTGAAACCATTGGAATCTATATTTCTATCGATATGACAGTGACATTAGCTGTACCACCAGCTCAATGACTTTATCGTCCGCCGGGCGGTAAAGTAGTCCGCGGGCGGTAAAGTGCCATTTTACGCCCGCAAACCCGGGCGGTAAAGTGCTACTTTACGCCCGGTCGTGCATAAAAGTAATTTATAAAGAAAAACATCAATATTCCCACTCACCCGAGCAGCAAGCTGAACAGCGTCGGCAAGATCTCCCTGAGCGTCTTCGGCGTGTTGGTCACCACCACCTTCCACACGTGCAGCGCCGCCTGTCTGACCATCAGCGCCACGTCCGACCGGCCCATGTACAGCCCGGCCAACACGCGGTTGCGTCTCTCCGCGCCCAACGCCCTGATGATGGCGGCGTGAGACTGTTCCGTGCCGAAGTTGTCGTCCTCGCTTGCTGTTTCCGTGCTCATCTTGCCGGTCACTCCGGAGATGCGGTACAGGAGATCGCCCAACAGCTGAACGGAACTGAAATTGGTCATTGTTTACACTAACAAATAATCGGGTCGATTGTGTTCCTTGTTATGACATTGCTGAATTAACAATAACGTTAACAAAACTGCTAGGCAAATCTGTATTATGTTTAGACAGTAACTGCAAATTTTATTAAAATTATTTATTCATTTGAATATGTGTATAAAAATTTGGAAAGATCCCTAAGCAGCACATGTGCTGGTAACAGAATTTGGTATTTCACATTTTTGTACGACATAAAATACTTAATGTTATATAAATGGAATATAATGTAATCCATGTAATGGACTGTTGAGGTAATAAATAAATTATTCTAACCATTTTATTTCTAATTTTATTCATATATTTTTCATTTTTTACTCTTTATAGCTCTTTAATCATTTTCTTGAATTGTGCATAGTTCGGACAATTGTAACCAAATGTAACCTCTTGTGGGAATCTCAGTTGTTATAAAATATACGAGGTCGGTTAAATTAGGTCAAAATTGCGCAAAATGAAATTTTATAATTTTCATTTTTATTTTTTCAAGAGGAAACCAAAAAACCTATACGCTTCTGACTGGGACATTCTTGAGGCACTTTTTTACGAGGTATCTGAATCTGTCATTGTATTTTCCATGACGTTCTTGATGCCAACGTTACAACACACAACTTTGTTTTTTCTTATGGGCGCCATATTTTTGTATTGTTACGATTTTACTCTGGGTCCGTAATAACTTAACACTCGGTATAACACTTAAAATAATTTATTCTGAACACTACTATACAATAATTACAATACTCGTACTAAACACTTCCGATTCACAACACTTCTTCGATCGTTATTATAACGCTTCCAAATAAAGACTTCCCTTCCTGTCCCTAACAACAACTATTTATACTACCTAATAAAACGTCTAGATTCCACTCGAAATATCGTGAACAGGTCGATAATCTTCTCGAGTCATCTCAATAGCCGTCGATTTCTATTCCAAGAAATATGGTTTATTTACTTCCGTATCAGGTAGCTGGGATTGATCGCCAGGGTCGTAACATTTACCCCCTTCTTCAAATTTGATCGTCCCGATCCAAAACAGAACTTTCCTCACCATGATAAGGCTTCAGTCTTTCAAGATGAACGACTTTCATCTTTGTCCTAGGGCTGCGTTGGATTCTATAGACCACATCATTGATCCTTTTCAACACCTTATACGGTCCTTCCCAAGATGGTGTTAATTTGGGTGATACGCCTTTCTTCCGTCGAGGATTATACAGCCAAACTCGATCTCCTTCGAAGAATCCCTCTGAATTGGCTTTGAGATCGTACCGTGCCTTCATTTTGTCACTTGCTAATTTCAATCTCTCCCGAGCAGTCTCATGAATTTTCATCAAGCCATTCCGGAGCTCATCTGCGTAGTCTTGTACTTCCTTTACTTCAACACTTGGTGAACCGAACACCAAGTCACAAGGTAAGCGGAGTTCTCTTCCAAAGACTATACTAGCTGGAGTTAGCTTCGTTGAATCATGGACAGCTGCTCTATACGCCATCAGGAATAAGGGAAGATGCCTGTCCCAGTCCCTCTGATGCTCTTCGACTACTTTGGAAAGATGTTCTTCCATAGTTCGGTTGAATCTTTCGACCATTCCATCGGATTGTGGATGTAGTGGAGTTGTTCTCGTCTTACTGATTCCCATTAGATCACAGACCTTTTTGAATAAGTTCGACTCAAAATTTCTCCCTTGATCAGAATGTAATTCCATTGGTACTCCGAACCGTGAAAACATGTTGTCGACCAATATCCTGGCAACTGTGGAGGCTTCTTGGTTTGGCATGCCGTATGCTTCTACCCACTTACTGAAGTAGTCCATAGCAACCAAGATGTATTTATTTCCATCATCAGTCAAAGGGAATGGTCCGGCTACATCGATGGCGATCCTTTCAAACGGTGCACCCACATTGTATTGCTTCATTCCAGCTCTTGATCTCGTTCTGGGACCTTTACTGGCTTCGCATACAGGACATCTTCTACACCAACTTTCCACGTCGTCACGACATTGAACCCAGTAAAATCTTTCTCGAATTTTACTCAATGTCTTGTTAACTCCAAAATGTCCACCAGATTTTCCGCCATGAACTTCTTCCAGAACTTCATTAACTCTGATGTGGGGCACAACCAGCTGAGAAATTGTTGATCTACCATCAGCTGATTCCCAAACTCGCTTCAATAATCCATTCTCCACAACTAGTGAGTCCCATTGTGCCCACATCGCCTTGAAAGCAGGCCCTCTATCCGAGATATCCTTCCATGTCGGTCTTTCTGTTCCTCTTTCTTTCCAACGTAGAAAATCGGCGATATTCGGATCGTTCTCCTGATCTCGTCTCATGTGTGCTGTTGTCCACTTATCATCGGTCACAAGTCTGGTTTTTCTAACATCAGCGGTTCCTTCTCGATGTTCAATGCGTAGACAATGCTTACAGGTTTCCGAACAAGGTCTTCTGGACATGGCATCTGCATTCTGGTGTAGTTTTCCTGGGCGATGCTTAATCTTGAAGTGATACTGGTTCAGCTTTTCCAGCCATCTTGCTATTTGACCTTCAGGATTCTTCATCTCCATCAGCCACCTCAAAGCTGCATGATCCGTCCTAATGAGAAATTCTCTTCCGTATAAATATTTGTGGAAATGGTCAACAGCCTTAACAATTGCCAGCAGTTCTTTCCTGGTGACACAATAATTCCTTTCTGGTTTGGCCATCACTTTGCTGTAGTATTCTATAACCTTTTCTTGACCATCCTGTACTTGTGATAGCACGGCTCCAATTCCGATGTTACTCGCGTCTGTGTCCAAAATAAACAAGCCTCTCTCTTGTGGGAACCCCAAAATAGGACTCGAACAGAGGCCAGCCTTCAATTTCTTGAAGGATTTCTCACATTCTACAGACCAGTTGAAGTTGACTCGTTCTTCTGTCACTCTATGGAGTGGTGCCGCAATATCAGCAAATCCTTCCACAAAACGACGGTAGTAAGTGCACAGTCCCAAGAAACTTCTAACTTCATGTTTGTCCTTCGGTCTTGGCCAGTCTCGAATGGCTTGAATCTTTGTCTCGTCAGTTTGTATTCCTTCTGACGTTACCGTGTGGCCCAAGAAATCTACTCGTTTCTGGAATAGTGAACATTTCTTCAGGTTCAGTTTGAGGTTGGCATTCCTGAATCGCTGGAACACTTCCCGTAAGTTCTTCAGGTGTTCCTCGAAATTCTTTCCCATGACCAAAACATCGTCCAGATATACCAGGCAAGTTTTCCAAGTGAGCCCACGCAGTACCAATTCCATCAGCCTTTCGAAGGTTGCTGGGGCATTACATAGTCCAAAAGGCATCACAGTAAACTGGTACAGTCCATTACCAGTAGTAAAAGCAGTCTTCTCCTTATCTTCTTCGTGAATGCCCACTTGCCAGTATCCGCTCTTCAAGTCCAGTGTCGAAAACCATCGGGAGCCAGCCAATGTAGTCAAAGTGTCATCAATCCTTGGTAACGGGTAGCTATCCTTCTTGGTGACGTCATTGAGCTTCCTAATATCCACACAGAATCTTGTGGATCCATCCTTCTTGGACACTAAACAACCGGTGCAGACCAAGGGCTGGATGATTCTTCAATTACCCCATCCTTCATCATTTTGTCAACCAGCTGTTCCACCTCCTGTTGCTTAGCAAACGGCATTCTTCTTGGTGGTTGCCGAATTGGGTGAGCTTTACCAGTATCTATTCTGTGCTTGACCAAGTTCGTCCGCCCTGTTGATGTTGATTCAAAGATATCACTTTCGTCTGCTATGAATTTCTTGGCAGCTTTATATTCCGTTGGTGATAAGTGGTCCAAGGAGGTTTCCAGAACTCTCAATGCACTGTCATTCCGTTCCCTCCATCTCTGCTCGTTAGTCTCATCACATTTTGCTACCCAACTGACTGGTTCACAAGCTCCGATGATGTCTCCTTCCCTTACTGTTATGGTGGTAGGTAACACATTTGCTACCCTCACAGGAATGTCTCGTTCGGTGGTCACTAAAGCTCGGGCAAGTAACAGCTTGCTGGGGGATTCCTCACATGACTGTACTAATCCAACGCAGCACCCAGGGTCCTTCTCTAATCGCGCATGGATGATCTTTTCAGTGAATCCAGGAATTCTCACAGTCTTCGCTAGTCGTAGCCTCACAGACGTCTCCCTCTCGGCCGGTGTCGTTAGTACTAACTCTTCTCCTCCAAATTTCATGGTCTTCTGATCACTGTCGAATGAAAACCCGTAGTCGCTTATCAGATCCATACCGAGGATAAACTCATCTTCGATATCTGCGACGTATACCATGTTCACTAAATGGAGTCTTCCAAGCGTCAACTCGATATCAGCCATCCCTCGTATAGGTGCATTTTCTCCAGTGACCGTACGAAGAACAAAGTTGGAAGTGGTTGGTTTTATACTTCCAGGCCGGAGAATGTCACTGCGTACCAGGGAAACTGATGCACCGGTGTCTATGGTGCAGGTTACATCCATTTGGTTGATTTTTCCTTTGATGGTCAGGCTATCAGTTGTTCTTCTTATCCTTTTGATGTTTATGACCCTGGGGGCTTCGTTATTGCTAGCCAGCATGCGCCCCGATACGCTGGCTAGTTCTAGTTTTCCTGGTATCTATCTGAGGACTCACTAGATGACCTAGTCCTCGCAGGTGAGTACGACCGTAATGGCGTCCTTGCAGGTGGAGAAGATCGTGGTGGTACTCTCACCTTACAGTCCCTTATTAGGTGTCCAGTTCTGCCACAGCGATAGCAGGATCTGTTTCGCTGGTTGCTTGACCCACTCTTAATTTCTTTGATCGAGTCCTTCAGTTCTTCAAACATTTTTCCTAACATTTTTGCCAATGGGTCCACGTGTTCGGAAGGCTCCTCGATGGACACAGCTCTCACTTTGGGCCTAGAGGTGTTGAAGGCCGCTTCTACCTCCAGAGATCTTACTAGGGCTTCACCACTCCTCTTAAAGTGTGTAAGCCTCAGAGTCTTCTGTATTTCTGAGTCTCTCAGCCCGTCGATGAATATCTGCACCGCCAGTTGTTCTTTGAAGTCCTCTGGTGCCTCTGGGTAGGCTAATTGAGTCAGTCTTCTCACATCTGCTTCGAACTCCTGTAGGCTCTCTCCAGACTTCTGCACACGATTTTTCATCTGAGCCCGGTAAAGCTGTTCTCGATGTTGGTCACCATACCTGAGTTCTAGTGCAGCCACTAAATCTCGGAAGTGGTTTTGTTGTTTCACTGGGATCGACTGTAAAATCCCCAAAGCTGGTCCTCTCAGAGCTACAATGAGTGCAGTAGCTTTTTCCTCGTCACTCCACCCATTTGCACTTGCTGCAGCCTCAAATTGTCGGCGATACATAGACCAAGGCGACTGTCCATCAAAAGTTGGTGGTTTCACGGAAGAACCCGATGTGGCAACCCTGTCACGACGATCTTGACTTCGTAGCGAGGCGATCTGATTCGCTACATCTCTTTAGAATAGAATAGAATAGAATATTTATTTCACCAAATTACAAATCTTATGTTTTTGGCAAGTCAGCTTTTGATTGTATCGAACATGGAATCTATTCTTGAAACTTCCTGGTTAAGCTTGTCGTCAATTTTGGTGAAATCTGTCTTCAACTCATCTATTTGCACATCAGTTTTATGCAGAATTTGTTCGAAGAAGATTTTCTGATGTTCTCGTTCTTTTTCTTGATGCTCTAGAATTTTCTGTAACTCTTCTTGACGACGTTGCTCTTCTTCTAATTTTTCCTCTCGACGACGTTTCTCCTCCTCTTGCTTTTCTTTCTGTCGTCGTTCCTCTTGTTCCGCGAACTGATTTTGCATAAATTTCAAAATGTCTTCCATCGCGTCGTATGACGTACTCCTTGTATTCACCATACGTCTTCAAATGTCCTCGAAAAATCCACACTTCTGACACCACTGTTACGATTTTACTCTGGGTCCGTAATAACTTAACACTCGGTATAACACTTAAAATAATTTATTCTGAACACTACTATACAATAATTACAATACTCGTACTAAACACTTCCGATTCACAACACTTCTTCGATCGTTATTATAACGCTTCCAAATAAAGACTTCCCTTCCTGTCCCTAACAACAACTATTTATACTACCTAATAAAACGTCTAGATTCCACTCGAAATATCGTGAACAGGTCGATAATCTTCTCGAGTCATCTCAATAGCCGTCGATTTCTATTCCAAGAAATATGGTTTATTTACTTCCGTATCAGGTAGCTGGGATTGATCGCCAGGGTCGTAACAGTATTTTAAAAAAGTATTTTTTTTTCTGATGTATCATACGATATGATCGAATCATTGCTGTTGATCAAAATTGGGTAAAAAAATTGCGCTCTGCTTAACGTTATAATCGAATTCACTCTGGTTTTCAGCTATCCTGCCATGGGTAGCATTTATTCCTACTAATTTGTTTGTTCAATAAATGTGGATTTTATTTGAAAAGTGTGTCGACTCTTTATTTGGGGATGAATGTGGTTAGGTGGAGAAACGACTAAAAACCTCTCGTTAAAAGCCAAGCCAGGAAGTGAGTTACGACATAATATTGTCACGAGTAGAACATACGGTATATTAGTAATTTCGAATCATGAGGGTTTCAAAAACATTAAGTTAATCAAATCATTCGTTGACATTGAACTATGAAAACTGAAGTAAATACAATTCATACTCATGCAACGAGACAGTTGAATTCATTAATAGCAAACCCATATAACTCCATCATTGGCAAACAATCAGTATTCTACAACGGAATCATTTTATATAATTCATTACCTTATGATTTGAAACATATTGATGATGAAACAAGATTCAAAGTCAATATGAAAAAATATATACTCATGACACAATAAACGGAGCAATTTATTCTCATTTGAATACTTGGAATGGTTTTATTTTAATTATTATGTTATATTGACATAACTTGTTAATTAGTTTTTTTTTTATTGTTATATATATATATATATATATCATATGTTTATGTATCCCTATTATAAACAAATATGTTTCTTGGGGTAATAAAGAACAACAACTCTCATGAGAAACGTGCAAGTCTAATAAAATGATGTATTTGAATATTGGATGTGAGGGTTCCGAAGTTAGTCTGGTCTGGGTCTACTCTTGACTTGACAAGAAGTCGTCGTAATGGTAATTATATAATGTAAGTTGTTATATTCACTGTTGGTTATTCATATTTGTCATTGCTACCCATAATGTTTCATGCTTCAATAAATATTGTTATGTTTGAATATAGTCCCGTACTTTCAGTTACCCCTGAACTATTAGTGCCAATTCGAATATTACCTCTCGCAAACAATTAAGCCAAGCAAACCCCTTATAAATCGATATGGATGGACTTTACCATCGATTTTATCTTGACATGGTGGAAACCCCACTATATCGTGACATTATTTCAGTGCGACGACACAAAAATCAAGAATCACCTGTATCGAATCCTCCAGTTCTCGTCGAACAGCCCCTTCTCCAACTCGGGCAGCAGCAGCTGTATGGCCGACTCGGCGTAGAGAGTGACGATGCGCTGGCCGGCCTTCAGCGCCGTGTCTCTGACGTACTCGTTCTCGTCGGCGAGCGCCTTCAGGATGGGCACGATGATCTGGCCGATGTACGGGGTGAACTCGTTGGTGAACACCACCGGCATGTAGATGAACATCATGATGTACCTGTGGACGGGGAAGGTTTATTCAATAATAATAATAATAATATGAACCTGAACAATTTGGGCACAGCTCAGCATCTCGGAAAGAATCACTTACAGCTGTATTATTCTTTACCTACTACCAATATGTAATGTGAAACATTACGACACTGATTTTAGTATCGTGATGAGATACTTTACCGCACTAGTGCGGTAAAGTGAAAAAAATATAATATCAAATTTTATTTTTACTCAAAAAAGAAATAAGAACCAATTTATCATGAATATAGCAGGTACTGAAGTTTCGAATCCTGCAATCGCCGCAATTTCTATATCGGAATCTAAACTTTCCTGATCCGAATTCATGCCGATGAATTTTTTTTCGAATTGAGATTAACGCGTCAAAGTTGACTAATCGCCGAATGAGTGACAACCGAGAACACGATAGATTCACGACAACCATACAGGTATGCCATCAGGACCACAAGCCCCTGTGATAAACTGAAGCTATTTACATTAATGATTCAACTATAATTCAATTCAGGTACAAAACAATTCGACTCAGTATACACAGAAGAAAAATTTTTTGCAAATAAATTAGCGGTTTCACAGCCACTTTTGCTATTTTTATCATTCAGGTACATGTTGTCAGGAAAATCACATGTTCTCTTAGAATTAGTAAATCGTCAAATACTCTATATGCTGTAAATAACTATGATAGCATTGATGTTTTACATATAGTTCTAAGATCTGAGAATTTCAGATATGCACTATTGTCATTAGTTTGCTTGTACAGTTTATGCATTTTCTTCTTCTCAAAAATACATTCCTTCAATTCCTTGCTATACCAAGTGTGGAAGTTTGACTTTTTAATTAATTTGACAGGTATGGAAAGATTTAGTGCTGAATAAAGAACTTCATAGAACCGTTCAAGAGCAAAATTAATATCACTTTTGCAAAGAATGTTTACCCAATCAACTGATGCAATATAATAGTTAATGGCATTATAGTCAGCTCTCTTAAAATCATAAATTACTTCCTTGTAGGGTAAAGATGCTATTTAATGAGCTAATTGAATGTCACAAGTAACTTCATTATGATGTATACTATTATGATGAAGCAAGTCAATAGCAGGTTTTACATCAATATCACTCAAGTTCGAAAATAAGAGATCTAGGTACACTCCACGACTATTTGGAACCTTATTCTGTTGAAAGAAGTTGAGGTAGCTGAATTTTTCGCACAATATAATTGCTGAGGAATTTAGAGGACTCTGCACACTAACACCTAAGTAACCATTTGTCCACACGGCTTCTGGAACATTGTAGTCACCAGTGATAATAAACGAATGGTTAAGGTACTGTCTCTTCATATCTTCGACATCACTGACATATATTTTGGAATTGAAATTTCATTATTGCCAAATCTCCAGACAACCAAGTTTCTGTTATAATAATAACATCATATGAACATTGTAGGACAGAATTTTTGAAATGGGTAAAAATTGACTTTAGTCCTCCAACATTTTGATAATAGCAGGACACACCTACTTGTAGTTTTTTGGAGCCACACCGTCCGTTTTGATAATCTTAGGTACCCCTCTTATTATGAGTGATAGTATAATCTGATAGGTATTTTGAGCCGATACCCTTCGATACATCTAGAAATGTCAGAGTAGCTACTCCTTTGATTTATTTCCACTACGTGTGACCAATAACAAAAATTGTTTGCCTGTATGTCACTGTGGTAAATTATTTCTTGGTAATGGGAAGGGTTCGATCTCTTCATTACATATTGTATGTTAAGTCCTTTCATAATCAAGAGAATTTTGGAAAAATTATATTTTCAGCCTGGTAAAATTCTTCCATATCGTTAGTGATTTTCGAAAAAAAAAATAGCACGTGTATACAAAATATCTCCCCCTCCCCCCGTTCAATTTTATTATCATCATTAGTCATAGATAAATCATTTTTTGTTCGGAAATTACAGGGTTATCAGCATGACTCAACTCATTAGTCATTCATTCGGGACCAGGTGGTAAATCAAGACAGTCTTATATTAGATGTCATCACGTAAGGTCGAATTTTGTGATCGACATCGAAAAATACGCGAAAGGAATTATTTATCGTTCCAAACTGAGTGTTCCATAAAAACTGAGTGATCGTATTGATTTGTATATAGTGTTTTTGTATTCCTCATTCGATTCAATAATAATAATATCGGGATCGTGTGTTGTTCTAGTGTTTCGTGTTGTTTCATCAAAGCCTCACTTTTTTCACGCTGGTGAGTGCAAAGAAATTCTCTCAATTTTTCCTCATATTTCTCTGTATTCATTTAACTTCATTACCCTATACAGGGTATGTCACGACGAGCTTACACTATCTTTAATTCGAGAATCAGTCGGGAGAAATCCATGAAAATGTGCATGTTTATATTTTGGTATACGATCTTTTCATTCAAGATATGTTCGACAATGCAGTGTTGCCGCTTCTACTAGAAATTAGTAGCAACATTGATATTTCGAACGAAACACCCTGAATGTTATCGCATTTTGAGATTCTCCCTGAAGAGTTGATTTCATCGATATATCATACTTGAGGGCTATCGAAAATGATTACAGAGATAAAGGGTGTTCAAAATCGATATTTTTCAACTTTAGGATTTTTTTGTGTCGAAAATATTCATTATCGGTCAAAACGGCTCAACTTTTGTTTCACTATTGACTGATATGCAATCGGAACAGATACAGGGTGGTTCAAGATTCAGAATTCTGATCACATGCATATTTTCATGGATTTCTCCCGACTGATTCTCGATATAGAGATAGTGTAAGCTCGTCGTGACATACCCTGTATGTTTCGTACCGTTTGTTGTGTTTTCTCCGCCCAAGGAATACTTTCTTCTGATTTTCGTGCTTCCTGTTCGAAACTGTATCTTATAAGAATTAACCATCTTCAACAGAACGTAATCTTGATTTTGGCAAAATCTTCATCTATGGTCAGGTCATAACTTTTGAACCACTGTGTATAATCGATTCATACTTGGTAGGTATATTCAACTCATATTTCTCATCAAAACTAAATATGAATCGACTTTAGAATCTAGATCCGTCGTCAGGCAAAACAAACAACTTTGTTTTTTAACAGTGCGCATCCAATTTGAAAAATAGAATTTTATTGAACTGGGCATTCAAAAAATCCAATTTTATTTCAAAAAGATAACCAGTCCTTAAATTTCAACTTAATTAGAGCCGAATTAGGTAAACTATCGATGGATTTCGTTCCATAGAACAATTTGTCAATTATTTTAGATATTTTCGACTGCCCATTGCATTTTTACACACAGAAATTAATGAGTATTTCACACTCTTGAATATTTGTACTTAGATTCATATTCCGAGATTATTTGTTTTAGTATTGTCAGTAACTTTATATACATATATATTTTACGTCTCCGAAGTTTTTGTGATTGTTCAACACCGGAGTTCTTTCATTTCATTTATTTCTATATCTATCCATTTTGATTATTTTGTATATGAATATTTTACACTCTTGAATTTTTGTACGTACTTAGTTTTATATTCCAAAATCATTAATCTTAGTATTTTCAATAATAGCTCCTCAAACGAAATTCATACTTTTTCACCACGTACAAGCAGCATTTGCTGCTTCTGTGGGTTTTCTAATGTTTATTTACCTAATGTTAACTTGCTATCATTATTTCTTCCTTTTTATTCTGATTCTGTCGAAATAAACATATTATTATTATTATTATTATTATACCAGCGTACATACATTAGACAAATGTCAATTTGGATACGCGCTTATAAAAAGTAGACCATATTGTTCATTATTTTCCTCTTCTTTCCAGTTAACAAAACATATCTAGATATTTTGGGAAAGATTATATTTTCAGCCTAGGTTAAATTTTTTCAAATCATTACGACTTTCGAAAATAATATTGTCAGTATATCTGTGTTCAATACTTCATCTTATATTTTGTATACTATATATCTCTTTTCCCCCCGTATACTAATTATTAGTCATAGACTCCCCCCCGTATAATTCCATTATCATCATCAGTCATAGATAAATCATTTGTTCGGAACTAATCGGTTAACAGCATGATTCAACTCATTAGTCATTCATTCGGGATCAGGTGGTAAATCAAGACAGTTTTATATTAGATGTCATCACGTACGATCGAGTTTTGTGATAAACATTGAAAAATAAGCGAAAGGAATTATTTATCGTTACAGAGTGTTCCCTAAAAAATGAGTGATAGTAATGTGTTTTTGTATTCCTCATCCAATAATTCGTATCGCGATCATGTGTTGTTGTTCTGGAGTTTCGTGATGTGAAAATCGAAAATTTCAAACAATGGAATTGCAGAAATCATTTTTTAACTTTTTCACGAGGGTGAGTTTTTTTTTAATTTTTCATAATGAGTGACAGTATAATCTGATAGGTATTTTGAGCCGATACCAGTCGATACATCTAGAAATCTTAGAGAAATCTTAGAGTAGGTACTCCCTTGATATACGTATTTTTTGTGAGAAATGTATGCGATTAGAACAAACCCGAAAAAAATTTGTAAATACGTATCGCTGACTGTGCTAGGCTAGGTACCGCAACTGCCAATTTTCACAGAGAAATTTTCGAAGTCGTCAAAATTTCTTTGGAATGGTCATACACGAATTGTCAAACTCTTATTATTATCCATATACTCAGATCGGAAATCAGTCTCGGAATACCCTGTACTAATTGTATAATTTCCTATGGTATATTATAATTATATCCAGCCCGCATTCCTGGATAAGGTGATTAGTAATAAAATTTTATCCCCCTGTTAAAATATGAATAACTTTTTTTCTGCTTTGAACAATTTGACTTTGGTTCACACTGTTCGCTAGTCCAGTCCTTCAGCTTTAAGCTCGTACTTCTTTAAAACATGAGGTTCTTCAAATAAACTCGCTACAAGGTGTCACCTGAAACTGTGAAAATTTTTTGAATTTTCAAAAGGATCCAAAGTGAACGAAAACTTTTTTTTTTCAACTTTGACAGCAGATTACCTTGAGGCATTTTTTGAATTGTCTTATTATCCCCTTTTACTTACAGTGATATAAAAAATTAAATTTTAGGTTCTGTAGTCATAAGTTTTTTCCTTCCCAATCGATTTTTAAAATCTCAAGCTCATTTTGAAGATGAAACTTCAGATGAAGAGATATGAAGATCAGAATTGACTCAAGATGAACATTGCACAGTGTTTCTCACTTTTAATGGAAGCATCCCTGTATCTTTCGTATTTGTTTAGTTAGGATTCTGAAATTTCCAGGAACGGTAGATATTTACTGGAATTACACACTATGACCAAGTGGAGTCATCATCATCCATGTACTTCATCTGATGATATTAGTCTTCTGATTTGAATGTGCTTCGATTGATATGTGATTGTTAGTTGCAGATCCAAGAAGCAGTGTTTGATACTTGCCACTCAATCGGAGAAAACCACCCAGTCAAGACGAACCGAACAGAAGATCCGTAAAGAGACCTGACCAGAGTATACTTTACAGAATTCAGATTATTATATTCGTACGGAAGGCAATATATTGATATCCTTTCCAGATTCTCAAGAAAACAGATAAGACAGATATTCACCTTTATGTCTCTATGGAAACACGACAGGTACCCTTACGAGGGGAGAGTATCAACTCGACGTTTATAAACCCTCTCTGCAAAGGAGGTAGACGCATGGTGGGTTAGGTATATACAGTGTTCTTCATTGCAGAGAAAATTGTTGTTTATCTGCCTGTCTCGTCTTCATTGAGATAGTTGATGAATTGATGAATTACAAAAATATATCGCGTTCCAGTTATGAATGTTGAAAACAATATCCAGACTTTTCATAGATTCATATTCTATGTAGGTCTCACGATTAAAATTTGAAATTGATACTTAGTTTTAGATCTGAGCAGCACATTGTTTGGCCTTCAAGGTCCTTAATATAACCCACTTAATTGAACATGTGGAAGATGCCTACTGAAAAAACCACTATACGGAAAGAAAGCGGATATGTAGCAGTAGCAATCTAGTAACGGACGTTGAAAATATTATTCAGGTATGTCTCAGATTCAACATCTATGTATTTCCTCTAATGATATTTTCTGATTCAAATGTACTTCAATTTAAATGTGATGTTTAGTTGCAGATCCAAGAAGCAGTGTTTGATACTTGCCACTCAATCGGAGAAAACCATCCAGTAAATACGGACCGAACAGAAGATCCGCAAAGATAACTGACCAGAGTATACTTTTAAGAGTTCGGATCATTATATTCGTACGGAAGGCGATATATTGATTACCTTTCCAGATTCTCAAGCAGACAGATAGACAGATATTCAGCTTTATGTCTCTATGGAAACACGACAGGTACCCTTACGAGGGGAGAGTATCAACTCGGCGTTTATAAACCCTCTCTGCAAAGGAGGTAGACGCATGGTGGGTTAGGTATATACAGTGTTCTTCATTGCAGAGAAAATTGTTGTTTATCTGCCTGCCTCGTCTTCATTGACATAGTTGATGAATTGATTAATTAAAAAAATATATCGCGTTCCAGTTACGAATGTTGAAAACAATATCCAGACTTCTCATAGATTTATATTGTATGTAGGTATCATGACTCAAATTTGAAATTGATACTGTTCTTTATTTTGTATGTAGAAATTATAATGATGAATAAAGCCGCTTTATTATTATTATATTGTTTGGCCTTCAAGGTCCTCAATATAACCCACGTCCCACGTAATTGAAAATATGAAAGATGCCTACTGGAAGAACCACTATTCGGAAAGAAAGCGGATATGTAGCAATCCAGTTACAAACGTTGAAAATATTATTCAGGAATGTCTCAGATTCAACATCCGTACTTCATCTAATGATATTCATTTTCTGATTTGAATGTATTTAGATTATTATGTAGCAATCCAGTTACGGACGATGAAAATATCATTCAGGAATGTCTCAGCTTCAACATCCATGCACTTCATCTGATGATATTAGTTTTCTGATTCGAATGTACTTCGATTAATATGTGATGTTTAGTTGCAGATCCGAAAAGCAGTGTTTGATACTTGCCACTCAATCGGAGAAAACCATCCAGTAAATACGGACCGAACAGAAGATCCGCAAGGAATACTGACCAGAGTATACTTTTAAGAGTTCGGATCATTATATTCGTACGGAAGGCGATATATTGATTACCTTTCCAGATTCTCAAGCAGACAGATAGACAGATATTCAGCTTTATGTCTCTATGGAAACACGACAGGTACCCTTACGAGGGGAGAGTATCAACTCGGCGTTTATAAACCCTCTCTGCAAAGGAGGTAGACGCATGGTGGGTTAGGTATATACAGTGTTCTTCATTGCAGAGAAAATTGTTGTTTATCTGCCTGCCTCGTCTTCATTGACATAGTTGATGAATTGATTAATTAAAAAAATATATCGCGTTCCAGTTACGAATGTTGAAAACAATATCCAGACTTCTCATAGATTTATATTGTATGTAGGTATCATGACTCAAATTTGAAATTGATACTGTTCTTTATTTTGTATGTAGAAATTATAATGATGAATAAAGCCGCTTTATTATTATTATATTGTTTGGCCTTCAAGGTCCTCAATATAACCCACGTCCCACGTAATTGAAAATATGAAAGATGCCTACTGGAAGAACCACTATTCGGAAAGGAAGCGGATATGTAGCAATCCAGTTACAAACGTTGAAAATATTATTCAGGAATGTCTCAGTCTCAGTCCATACGAACCGAACAGAAGATTCACAAAGTGAACTGACCAGAGTATACTTAAGGTGACTAGTTATGTTATATACTTGGTATATCATGATTTGATAGTCTGACATTGATGTGACATTTTTATAATATAGTTACAACTCAAAGTCTTATAATTTGTATCAATTGTATCCACAATTTGGTGATCCCGACGTGATATTATGGAGCAGTTGAGCTAAGGCGAGATTATACAAATTTTGAGACATTTCAACATCCATGTTAGTAATTCGATGGAATTTTCGGATACGAAGGAAATGCTGACAGAGAACATTAAAAAAACTTATAAGGACCAATTTCACGAAGCCGACTACAGGAGCATTCTTTCAGAGATTTCGCCGTGTATATGTTTTTCGATATTTCATTTAGTTCAAGATATTTGATCTGCTTCGATCTGGTTTTGTAGGTCGCTCTGTATGTTTTTTCTGATATTCATTTGTCTCAAACACGCTGTATATGTATTCATTTTTCATCCAACTCATACGTCAACTGGCACACGTCATCTGTCATCGGTCATCAAACTGCAGAATTTTTAAAATTGCCTGATGTCATAAATTATACCGGGCATAGTTTCAGAAGAACCTGGGCAAGTTCACATGCGAATTCTGGAGGAGACATTCTTGCTTGGAAGCTGTATATATTCATGTTGGGAATCATTTTTGCAGTTTCTCACGAACACTTAATATTTCCTGGAAGTAGGTATAATTTTTTAAATGGTAGGGCATATGTCTTCTTTTAATCCTCCGTTTCAATCAAAACTGTTCCTACTAAAATGCATTCAAAAACTTGTGGAGTGGATAATTGTAGGCACAATGAGAAAGTATAATATGTGATTTCGTATTAGTTTCACCTCGAATATTTTGCTGATGTATTTACCAATTTTCCCCATTCGGTCACTTCACTGTCCATGTTCTAAGTTCATAAGCATTTGATGGAAAGCTGACAAATTCAAATTTGCCATCCAACTGATTGATACCCTTCCAAAACAGAATTGAATAAGGTCGTAATAAGATCAAGTATGAAACTAACATTTTGTAAGATCTCTTTTAACGCCTAAGAATGTGACGTGACAGCAATATCATCTCAGAGACGCCAATACACGGAACCAAAGTCTCTAGATGATTAAGAGAGAAAGGAGCCATGATCTGTCCGTACCCTGTTAGATGACAAATCCGTCAGTTTGCATCAAGGGACCCTAAGTCAGACCACTTCGGGACAGCACGTGGTCACGAATTCATTGAATATGCATAAGCGTTGCGTCACTTGCTGCCCCAAAGTTATCGAGGTTGGAATCTACGTAATAGCTATTTATATATCAAGGGAGCAAAGGTATCCATTTCCTCCCGCGTGTGAAGTTTGATTAGCGGAGGGCATTAAACACACGTCGTTCTTAAAATTGTGCTTCATGCGGTCTATCTCTCGAGTCTCAATCCAAATCAATGTGTTACATATGATCAAAGCTTTTACATGATCTAAGGTTAACTTCTGTCACATTGATTTAGTTTATTGTGATGTGTTTATTGTGATGTATTTATTGCATTTTATTCAAAGTTCCGATTGAGTGTTATATGAGGAAATGTATGAGATCATTGGAAAATGAAATTATTTGTTTTATAGTAGTGATCGACACACTGATCAAGTACTTGGGTAGCACAAATCTTATGTGTATATCTCTACCAAGAAATCATGCAGAAGCCAATTTATTTTACCTCCCACAAGGGAAAATATTTTTATCCTCTCGTGGGAGTAAGTTGACAGGTTTGTGTCTTCAAATGAGGGAGCCAACGCTAACTTTCGATGCAGTGAGTAGATAAATAAATAAACGTACCCGTCCTTGACGTGGGCGGCGATGTCGGTCCGCTCGGCCGTGCTGATGATCTCCGGCATGAGCTTGTGCAGCTTCTGCACGCCCAGCCCGCCCACCACCTCGGACAGGCCCTGGGCGGCACCCGACCGGTCCACCGAGCTGGTCTCCGACGTCAGCGTCGACATCAGCCAGGGCAGCAGGTCCTCGAAGCTCGACTCGCCCATGCCGCGCACCATGGCGCCCAGCGCTCGGGCGCTCACCGACCTGACCTGTCGGAGATATGAGAAACGTGAGACGGAGTCACTGATATACCTAATCACTATCTAGCTGTACGTCATATGACTATGACCAAAAATATTCACTCATTGAATATTGTTATAATTTTTTTTATGTTTTGGTTCCCACGAAAAGAAGGGATATTGTATGTGTATGTATGTATGTATGTGTGTGTGTGTGGGCGGTCCGGGACCTGACGCACTTAGGCCTCCTTTTTCGGGCCCATTGTGCACCCACATTTCTGGGATCTCAAGTCAGCCATGGAGAAGGCCGATCTCGCGAGCAAAAGAGACCAACTTTCTGGGCCAAATCTTTTGAACATCCTCTGGGTCCAGGATACTGCCCCCAAAATAGATATCCCTTGCCGCCACTACTGCCGGGCATTCAGTGAGGATGTGAGTAGAAGTCTCTTCATCCTCTAGGCATCATCTGCATTCAGGATCCTCCACAATCCCGATCGTGCTGAGATGTTTGTTCAAGTGGCAGTGCCCTGTCAGAAGGCCCACCACCAGTTTCAGCTCCTTCCTGTTCAAAGCCAAGAGGGCATTGGTCTGTCTTCGTGACGGGTTTTCTATATGGAGTTTGGACTGTCTCATTCCAGGAGCCTCTCTCCAGCTGTCCTGAAACCTTTCCGTCAGGATTTCCTTCATCCTGAAGTTGCTCCAGGATCGAGTGACCCCTGAGATTGGCTCTGGGCCAATCACTGAACCCTTTGCCCCCTTTCTGGCCAGATCATCGGCCATTTCGTTACCTGGTACCCCTGAGTGTCCAGGGACCCACAAAAGACATACTTTGTTTGTTGCTGACAGCCTTTGTAGGCTATCTAAGCACTCTGACACCAAGGCGGAGGTCGACCTATACGAGATGAGCGCCTTGATCGCCGCCTGGCTGTCAGTGCATATAGTGATTTGCTGGCTGTGATAGCCCCTCTCGATATTCTCTCGAACACATGCAAGTATTGCAAATACTTCAGCCTGAAAAATCGTGGCATAAGGTATAGTAATTGTTTTTTTTTAATTTGTAATACATCCAGCAGGCCAAGGCCCAATTACAGGAGTATATAATAGAGATTACTAAACATATGGTTGAGTGTGATTTCAATTAGGTATAATCAAAGTTAGTGAAAATTTTAGTTAGGAACTAAACTGGAAATGGTTTGTTTAAATTGTTTTGAGGTGAGAAAAAATATATCAACAGTTCCAAGTTTATTATAATTTCTGCACATTGAATTGATTGGGGAATGAAAATGGTGCTGTGTGTTAGACACATTAATGTGGAATGTATCTTGATACCGAGAGGCTAATCGGGGTATACTAAACTCGATCTGCGAAAGTAATACTGAGGAGTCTATAGTATTGTGTATAATTTTATAAACAAAAAGTAAATGACCTATTTCTCTCCTCTTCTTCAGCGATTGGAACTTAAACTCATTCAACAGAAGGTCATAATTATAGTGCCTTTCGGGGTAGACTTTATATTTTTTGTAAAATAAGTATTTCAGAAATTTACGCTGTACCATTTCAATAGCAGAAATTGTTTGTTGGTGGTACGGATTCCATACCTGACTGCAGTATTCCAGTTTACTTCTAACCAAACTAAAGTATAACTGACAAAGTGCTTCTAATGATTTAAATTCACTACAAGTACGAATTAAAAAACCCAAGGATTTCATAGCTTTGGAGATCATTGTTTCATATTGACTTGAGAAGGCAAGTTTGCAGTCATATATGACACCCAGGTCCTTGTGTTGTGTGACTCGTGTTAGAGATCCATCATTGATGACATAGTGGTACATAAGAGGATTATTTTTTCGTGAATACGTACGTTTATTTATTGAACACCAGTTTTTCAACAGATTCAGATCATTTTGTAAGGAAATGGCATCCGATAAGTCGTTAATCCTTCTGAAAATTTTCATGTCGTCAGCAAATATGAGGGATTTCGACTCAAAATTGGAGCATACATCATTCACGAATAACAAAAATAATAAGGGTCCCAAATTTGAGCCTTGAGGCACACCTGATGTAGCTATAAACTGTGAGGATTGAACTCCTTCGTATTCGACATAAAGTTTGCGGTCTTTCAGGTATGTCCTCAATACATTGATAAGGTTTTTGGAGAATCCAAAAGATACTAGTTTATCTAATAACCTGCTGTGTGATACGCGGTCAAATGCTTTACTGAAATCAGTGTAAATAACATCAACTTGGCATCTTGAATCTAGAGCATTCGAAACATATTCCGTAAATATACAGAGGTTTGTCGATGTACTGCGACCTTTCATGAAGCCATGTTGGTTTTCTGTAATGAGGTGACGAGTGTGTTCATACATCAAGTCCGCCAAAAGAATCTCGAATAATTTTGAAAGAGCAGAAACTAAAGCAATTGGCCTATAATTTGTTATTTCTGTTGGTTTTCCTGATTTAAAAATAGGACATATATGTGAGTATTTCCATATATCAGGAAATTTTACAATTTTAATAATCAGGTTGAAAATGACGACTAAAGGATCCAATAATTTGTCAATAGATTTTTTTAATAGCTTGGGTGGAATATTGTCAGGTCCAGATGACCACTTGTTCTTGAGTTTTTTGCAAGCATTGAGAATTTGAACTCGCGTAATCATAGGAACGTGTAAGTAACTGCTGTTAATCTTGGAGTACTCATCATTCATCGAAACATCGCTATCGAGATCATATTCCTCCTCAAGGAAAACACTTTTAAAGTGGGTTGCAAAAGACTCAATAATCTGTTGAGGGTTAACGAGCGTTTTCCCTTCGTGATTCATTCTACCAGGAATACGAGATTTTTGCTGTTTAAGGTTGATAAAATTCCAAAATTTTTGAGGATTGTCTTTGATACTACTTTCTGAGTTATCGATGAAAGTTTGATACGCCACTGCAATTTCAGTTTTAATAGCTCTTCTCAAATTTTTAATACGAGCTAAGTAGAAGTTGATCTTATGTTTTCTATTTATTTTCAAATAGTGATTTTTAGATTTTATGTTGAATATAATGCTTTGGTTGAACCATACAGGGTATTTATATTCTCTTTTTCGATAATGGTACACAGCTCTTGATTATATTTCTCAATGTATTGCTGAAAAACTCGCAAGCAATGTTAACATCCGAATAAGAGCCAATTATAGTCCAGTTGAATTCGGTCAGTAATTGATTGAATTTTTCCTAGTTGATTTTCCTAAAATCTAAACGATCAATATGAGAGGAAAAATTGTTTTTGACACAACGAATATCTTGGAATTCAATTACAATTGCTCGATGCTGAGGATCTAATGGTACTAGAGGGTAATTTTCACATGTTACTAAGCAATCTGCGGAAGATGGTGATAATACTATATCTAATATCCTATCATTACAATTCACTATTTTATTATTTTGTTCAAGATCTGAGAAATGATTTGCCCTTGGGGAAAAAGGGATATTCTGTAATGTTCAGAGAACATCGTGAGAACCAAGGGAAATAAGGTAGAAATTGGTGAAATTTCTGGAGGCTATATGCCTCGGAGAACACCTCCCAATGTGTTCCAGAGCCTGGATGAATGAGTCTTCGGAATGAGGTATTATGCAGGTCTCCAAAGTGACCACGAAGGGGTGCGAAGCCTCAACTCGACGGGTTAATCTCGCGGGGACTGCCAAAGGAGGAACAATTGTTGATATTTCAGAAGAGCATCGTCCATGAAAATATCTATAAAACAGAGCCAGCTCGCCAACTTTTCTACGGTGTTCCAGAGAAGTGAGCGAGGCATCACCCACGAGACGAATTGCCCTTTTTTGGACAGAATCCAACAGTTTCAGGGTATGTTTGGGTGCTGCACTCTAAATCTGGGAACAGTATTCCAGGACAGGTCGGATCTGTGCCTTATAGATCATAAGCAGCTGACTGAAAGTGAAATAGCTCCTGGCCCGAAACAGAAAACCAAGTTTTTGAGATGCTAAAAGCAATTGATCTCACGTGATTTTCCCAGGTTATTGCTTATAGTAATACCAAGCATCGAAATGGATGTCTTCAGAGGTATGGTTTCTCCTGACAGGCTTATGTTGGGCACAGTGAGATAGGCTTTTCTAGAGAAAAGGCATGCTTGTGTTTTGTTTGCATTGAAATCTACCAAGTTATTGGATCCCCATTCGAGAATTGTTGCCAAGTCCATATTTATGTTGTCAACATTTCTCCCTCGTTCGTTTCTGATTTGCCTTGCTGGTATTGGAGCCCTGGCAGAGAAGGCTGTATGGAGGGTACTATCATCCGCGAAGCTGTGTACTGGACATGAAGTTGCTTTCAACAAATCGTTGATATGGAGTAGAAATAGTGTTAGTGCAAGAATTGATCCTTGCGGAACACCAGTATTTATGATAAGAGAGTCAGATGAAACTCCTTCGACTACTACAAGGAGAGACCTGTTTGAGAGAAAACTAGTGCAAAGTACAGTGTATCCAGTTTTCGATGCTTTAGCGTGATATCTCGGTTTTTGCTGTCTAACTTTAAATATGTGTTTGATGTGTGTATCATATTACTATATATGTGTTTTTCAGTCTATATGTACCTACAATAAAAGCATTTATTATTATTATTATTATTATATAATTGTGCGTATGTGTGTTTTGACGTATTCCTGTAAAATACTTACAATGAATAAAATTGATTCATTGATATATTTGGGGATAGAACCTTGCGGTTTTCGCGGTCCTGTGCCACTTTATTGTGAAACTAAGGTCTTATCAGATTTTGCATTTTGATCTACACAGTATAGACCCTTTAAGGGTTGTGAAATATTTATCCCAATATCTTTCTACCGACATAGGATGGCAATGGGAGTTCAGTGTTAGCCAAAACATAAACTCTAAAATTTTCTCAAACATTGAACCTATTCACCTAGACCGATCGACGATAGATTGATTCGCCAGGTGAAGCAACACAAGAATTCATCAAATCGTCGAATCGTCCCAGTTGTCGACAGACAAAGCGCGACTGTTTCTCTCTTGCTGACAATTATGACACCATCCATCCTAAATGAGTAAAAAATAACAGCCATCCCTACCTCTGGAACAGGATCCAAGAGCGAATTCTTCAATCCCGGAATGATGGTCGGCAGGTAGGGCATAAGGTCTTTCTGGTCGGTGAGCGAGTACATGTTGCCGATGATCTGGGCGGCCATCTTGCGCGTCTCCGTCGACCTGTCCATGAAGGCGCGCTGCACGACGGGCATGATCAGCGCCAGCGAGGGGGCGTCGATGAAGTGGACGAATTGCGTGTCGAGGAGCGTTTGCAGACAGACGGACGTCTTGTTCGATGGGTCCTGCAGGGCTTTCAGCAGCACGGGGACAATGGCTGGAACGAAAAGTTCCTATACTGATATATGTCCGGAGATGCATTGTTTCCAAGATACAGTGTCATAGTTTTTGTTGATAAAGTATTCTTCAATTAATTCGAATATCTTCTCAAGGAGATCTGAAGTTATTTGCAGATGGTACTACAATAATCTATTCCTCTAAAGAATTTAACGATATAGTTGATGATATGAAAAGGGACTTGAGAATGATATCATCTTGGCTACAAATTCATAAGCTGACTCTTAACTATGACTATTCTGACTGGACTGCTTACGGGACACTGTCGTCAAAGATACCACCTGGGAAGGATGGGTCTGAACCAACAAACGGACTGTCGGTTCTGTTGTGTGGAAGACTAGCTTAGCTTAGAAAGACTAAGGTTCGACACATTTGGCTTTACCAACCTAGAACCTATCGATTTCAGACAAATCTCACCCAATTCAACCATGAACTTTGTAAAAAGATGTGGATTGTACGGTGAACTGTAACCTCTAGGGGTGAGCCACAATAGACCCATCTGGGGTCGCAGTGGAGGGGAGGTGTTCGCCCCACTCACATGGAACCTAACCTAACCTAACCTTAACTATGACACATCTACGTATATGTATATTTCAAAGAGAAAAACTAATATGTCGAAAACAACAATATGTACGCCACCGACTTCAGTTCAATTTCAATAATTCCCTGAGACAGAGCAACTAAAATCACAACTTTTTTGTCTCTTGTATTTTTCTCATATCTTGCTTCGTTTAGTAGATAAAAAATAAAAACTATTTTATTGTATGTCCAGTTATCATATAAAAAATTTACAAAAACTGTTCAGTGACCACTTGCAACAATGACTTCAGGTGTTCCCATGTCAATAATTTTATATCTATCTGTCTATGTCTATCGATCTATCAAATTTGTTGAAGTTACATAAAATGAATTATTGAAAAAAAAACTTCAACACCCTGTATCATGGAAAAAATGCATTTCCGGACTCCAATGATTTTAATATTATTCCACTCTGCCATAGTTTCGATTTATCGATGTTTCTTTTAACGGAGACAATAGCATTGCTTCTTGTTCAGTTGATATAGACAGAAAGACAGAACATGGTATTCACTACTAAAATCTGAACATGAAATTGGTAAATTCAACATTAATTAATGAAAACATCCTGTAACTCATTTGATTGCCAACGTCACCAATTGTCATTGAAAACTGAAAACCTTCAAGACATATTATACGACTTCACTATTGAAATAATCTCTTTTCATGTTAAAAACGGGAGCAGAATCGGTCCCGAAACGTCCAAAGATAAGTGAAAATTTGATATTTTTTCTTTATACCTTTATTTCTCTTCTCCAAAAATGTTTTCAATACAAATTGTCACTGACAAGCTAGTGAATTTTTCTTTTAGGCTCTCTGATAGGAAAATTCTTAAAACGCAGTGACATTTTGGGGCAAATCATCTGATTTGTCCTTACTACACGTATATTGAAATAATATTCATATTTTCATTTTATAGAAACGAGGAGAGAAAATCCCAAAAAATTTGGAATAATGAATGTACCACCTCCTCGATTAACCTACAGACAGTATTTAGGTAGTAAGTTTCTTCCCACCCCGGTGTGTAATATACTGTAACATACCTTGAATTTCTGGATTTCTAATAACGGAACCAATGACTTTCAACGCGGCTGCTCCGGCTTCCTGAACCTTCATGTGCGAATCACTCAACACTTCTATCAGCTTCGGAACTATACTGGGAAGACAAGATGACAGCTGTTTGGGGGCACAATACGCCATAGCACCCAACAGTTCCACAGAACCTGTAAAATAATGTTCGTATACATTTTACGCAATTTAGATAGTGAGGACATAATCATCAACACTGATGGTGAATTCATGCACGACTCAACAGGGTCCTAATTAGAGTTCCTCAATGTATTTAACAAAGTTGTTTTGACGTTTTTGTTTATTCAAAGTACGGACACTCGACAAGCTGTCAGTCAAGTCAGACCTAACCACAAATGATTTTGAAGCAGATCATATGCTTTGCCAAACAAGGACCCGAATATGTTTTACGCTGAGATGAAAACTTATTGTATCTTCCGTTCTCTACATGTTCAGGGAAGGCTACATCCATTAATCTTTTTTTGTCTTTCATTTTCGAAGGAGAGTGCATGGGAAGAGGATACGTTAAATTAAATAGTAACGAATACAAATTGTAAGAAGATTTTTTTCTTGAATAATTGAATAATAATGAAGTGAAAGGTAAGTAGCTGTACCTATATGATCAGTTGAATAATTTTTGTAGTACAATAGTTCTGAATGGAAAAAAATGAGCAGTATTGCTTGCACCGGGTCTTCAACAATGATTGAAAACCACGTGACAGGATACTATGCCACCAAGAATACATTTAACATGGATGGAAAAAAGACGCCGCATCAAAAACGGTCACGTAGCACTCAATCATTGTTGAAGACACGTTACATGAGTGTAACAATTTTCAATCGTTTTTTCCGAATTGATTTCCTCCCAAAGTATGTAAGTCAATGAGTATACAGTCATTCTTTTTCTATCATCTTGACCTATTTTTATGAAGAAAGATCAAGGTGAAGAATTGATCGGTTTGAAAATTTGATTATTTAAGGAATTTTCAATCGTTTTTTCCAAATTGCTCCTCTCTCCAGGTATGTAAGTCAATGTGTATTCAGTCATTCTTTTTTATCATCTTGACCAATTTTTCTGTGGGAAAATCAAAGTGAAGAATTGATTGGTTTGAAAATTAGGACCTATACTATATTCACTTTATGTTCAAAATATCAGTGAAATTGGTCTAGTGAGTAAATATACCATGTATGCAGATGATACAGTACTTTTATATGAAGGCAATAATGCTTCAAATTTAGAAAATATAATGAATGAAGACTTGAAAATATTTGAAAAATGGCTCCACTCTAACCTTTTATCGATAAATACTAATAAAACAGAATATATGATTTTTCAACAAAAAAATAAACAAAAAATTTACTCTTGAAACAAACTGACAAGATAAAATATCTTGGTATTTGGTTTGATGACAGGTTGAAGTGGAACAAACATATTGATGTTTTGACAAAGAAAATATCTCCAATTATTGGTGCATTGAGAAGATCTCCCAAACTTGATATTAAAATTGCAAACATGATTCTCTACTCTCATATACTGAGTCGTATCAACTATTTAATATATGTTTGGGGATCTTGTTCAAATAATACGTTCAATAAATATCAACATTATATAGAAAATCGTTAAAAGTATTGTATCGTCTCCCATTTGATACACCAACCAATCAATTGTATGAAATAACAAATACCTATTCTTTAGATGGAATATATAGAATTGAAACTCTTAAAATATCATATAATATCATGAATGAAAAATTGAAGTCGAATATTATTTTGATACGGAATTCTGAAATTCATAATCATGAAACTAGACAATATAACTTGTTTCATCTTGATGCCGCTAGCTCTATAGTCGGACAAAAAAGATTCACTCATTCAGCCGTAACTGAATTCAATAAACTACCTGGCAATATGTTAGAGTATCAAATGGAATACTCAAAAGAGCAGTTAGAAGACTTCATCGTCTGAATTTTAACTGTGCTAACAAGGAAGTTAGCACCGAAGGGGGAAATGTTGAGGATATTTAAACTTCTAGTATAAATATAGAGAATCCAACCAATTAGAGTTGTTAAAAAAAAGTAATAAGTCAAGTGTTGTCAGTAATCGTCAAACATAAAAGTTTACCAAAAAAGGCATTTATTCCTTACATCCACTTATACATCATTTGAAAATTGAAATGAAGTATTCGATATTCCTCACCCGTTTTCGTCCGCCACGAGTCCTCCTCGAGCGCCTCCAACAATGAGGGCAGGATCAGCTTGACCCCGTGTCCCGACAGCCTGCCCATCACCACCTTGGCAGCGTCGTCGGCCGCCGTGCGCACGTGCTGACTGGAGTCGCCGAAGCACTGCAACAGGTGGGGCAGCACGTGCACCACGTACGGCTCGAACAGCTTGCCCAACGTCTGGAAGAGCATCTCGAACGCGAACAGGGCGCCTGCGAACAGCCAACAATCGATGTACACATGATGGAAATATTGTTTGATGTGCTACCACGCATTTTTGTGGACGTCACTGCGATTAAAACAATTGGCCAGCGTATGTTGCGCCTCTGTCTCAATATTGACAGCGTCCATGTCTTGCGGTTTGACAGCGGTAATTTGAATTTGTGTGAACAGTTTTGTTGCATTTTGTTCCCTCAACCAACGTTTTGCAGTTTGAATTGTGTCTTGGATATCAAACGATTATCAACAGGAAGATATACTTTTGGAATGGCATCCATCTCTATATTTCTGTGTTTTTAGGAGCAACGAAGTTCGCTAATTAATATTTCAAACTTGTTTGAAATCAGCTTGGTAGGAAATGTTTTGAACAGATAGTTGCTGTAATATAAAGAATTCATGTTGAAAGTGAATATTTTGTAATGAAAGGAGGGATCATATTATACCAACCATTCTTTGAATTTATGTTATCTCGACTGCAAGCTTCTATCCATTGCTTGGTCAGGTCATCGTTTTTCGGAAAGCAGAAAATTTGTATGATAGTTCCCTTAGTGCTTCTATTTGTATTTGAGTAACAAGAAATAAAGCACAATTAGGCATTACTACCAGTTAATGATGTTAAAAATTAAAATGATTTACAGTTTGCTTCAAATGAATTTTTGAAAGTTTTGAACGTTCAAATAATGATAAAAGTGACAGGCGCACAATGACGTCATGCGCAGAATAGACGAACATTGGATTCGTGAGTAGCACACTATACTATGTTTCCACCATAGTACATACAAACAACGAAATCTATACAGATTGTTTACCCAATCATTACACATAGGACATCTCAATGGCACCATAGCAAGAAAGACTGATTCAGCTATCATAGTCAGATGCAAAGAGAATCTCACGGTTGGATGGTGTTAGCGCTCTTATTGCAAGAGTAACCGCCCATGTGCGACATGTCCATTGCATCTGACTGTACGTCTGACTACCACAGTGAAACACAAATGTTATTCTCCGCATTTGCAATGTTGCCAAATGCCATCTTTTTTTGATGCTCCCATATGTAACAATTCGATAAACAATCGGTATATTGTTAGGATAACTATCAAAACACGAGTGAATTTAGATAATCGGATCGTCGATTTTGGGCAATATGATCAGCCCTTTTGGATGAAATCTTGTTAGTTTTCTTGCTCTCTCGGCAGCATCAATTTTATGCTTGGCAGTGAATCCTTTGTTTTTGCACTACAATTTCTTCAGCGTCGGAAAATTTAGGAAATCGCTGATTATAACCATTTCAAGATGGATTTCTGTGTGCACACCGTTATTTCATTAATCTGTTGCTTTCATTAACTGTCATAAAATATATTTTCATTTAGGGACTTTGGTGCCTTTATGCACTACCTTTTTTCAACTTTAAACACTTGCTCAAAACATAGTTAAAATGAGAGTGATTTATTCATATTGTTTTCAAAGTCTAATTTGAACAGGCAAATAGAATTTTTCGAATTTCCAACCACATTTTGGAAAATGATGAGAAGAAATTGTATGCCTGACTTCTGACAGAATCGCGCCTGCGCAAGTCACACTTTTATTTGATTTTGCCGTTAGGAGATGAAAGTTGGTAATCTTTTAGCGAATATTAAATGAGTTAAAAATTAATTTGGGTGCATAAATGATTGAACGGAAATACCAAGTTTCAACTCATAAGTGAAATCGTTTATGATTGTGAAACTACAGATTAATGGAAAAGCGGCGTGCACAAATCCGCCTTAATAAGTTCATTTGTGTAACTAAGGTTTTGAAAATTATGAGACTACAATTTCGGAATATCAGAACAGACACCAGAAATCTATTTGATTTGCTTGATGCAAAGTTGATTGAGCTATTCCACTTGAATAAGCCAGCAACGTGAGTTTTTCCTCATTTTTGGGCATGATGGATTACTTGCACCATTTGATAAAATACAAACAATCTATCATATAATATCAGTGCAACACAGACTTATTTGGGAAGTTAGGTGAAGAGTTTATCTTCTTTATAAAATTATCAACACAGTCAACAAATGAGTTAAAAACAGTGTTGTCAGCTCAAAAGTTCACAATTTTTCAAAAATATTGCCATCACTTGAGAAAATACTACTGGTACTGGTGGGGGACGTTTGCACGTCAGCAACTAGTCCGTAATGGGACCTTTTTGCAAGCCCCAAGGTGTTTAATGAGTGATGTGGTTCGCTAACATCCTTTTCAGGCACCGCCCATCAGCTCTCTTTCAGTTTTTCGGCTGTGTTTTGTAGGCTAGTAATATACTCACTACCATATGCTGCAGTGGCAGGCCTGCTAGCTATTCTCGTTAACCCCCGTTAGAGACCGAGGTCCACTATGAAGCTCAGCTGGTAGTTTTCCACACCCATCTACATACACCGTCCTACTTCTTCTCTGATACTCAAAACCACATCATTATCTTTGTCTGCTTTGTTATAAAAATGCGCCACTTTAGGAACAGCACTGTTAATTGGAACGCAACAGCGAATCGTGCAGGACTATCCCCAGTCGATGCTCCGGAACTTCACAATATTTAATTCGTAAATAAAATATTGAAAAAAGTTCCTTGCCCGTGCTGGAAATCGAACCCACGATCTCGCGGTCGTGAGACGGGCGCTCTTCCACTGCGCCAATCCCGGCTCAATATTGCCATCACTTGAACTCACAGTTACTGTTCAAACCAGGAAGTAAACTCTATAATTGACAGAAAGTACTGCAATAATGAACGTAAATTGTAAATGTGACAATATAGAAAGTGTGAAAATGTTCATAGATCCCGATTCCTTTACCTTCCCTGTGCTTGTAGTTCTTCTTGTCCTGGATGGCCTCCGTCAGCTTGGCCATGATGTCGTGCTGCTTGAGCGCCAGGATGCCCATGCCCTTGACCAGCCCGGCCAGACCGTGGGCGGCTCCCTTGCGCTCCCCGTACTTGTCGCCCTTCAGCAGCTGGTGCAGCAGCTTGTTCACGTAGCCGGGCGCGTCCTCCTTGACGGAGGGCACGAGGAAGGGCAGGCAGTTCGAGACGGCCTCCTGGACCTACGGGGAATTGACTCGACTAACTTTCAATTCCTGATTGAATCTTGTGTGTTACAGCACAAAAAATCTAGGGTTAATAATCGATTATAAACTTCGATTCAAAGAACATGTCAAGCATATGCTGAAGAAATGCTATTCTAATTTGAAAATGATTTACCCTCTTAGGCACTCTCTTGAACAAGATATCAAAAAAATGCTTTGTGAGTTATTGGTGTCATCCCAGCTCAATTACTGCGATACTGTTAACGGACCTTGCTTAGATGTTGTTGTTGATTTAAAACGCACTACAAAAAGTTCAGAATTCCTGCTTAAGACTCATTTTTGGTATCAGCAGACGAAAGAGGATTTCTCATAAATTAAAAGTTGTTAATTGGCTGAACATGCTTAACAGACGTAAATTGCACATGGTTTGCAGCTACTACAAAGTGCTAAAAACAAAAAAGCCGGAATTCTTATTACTGTGCCTAGACATAGGAAAGAAGTTTATAACATCGCCAATCTTATTGATGCTCTTCGTGTCACAGATTTCAGTCGTTCGCTTAAATCATTTAAAAGTATGGTAACGAAACAACTGCTTCAACTCCAGAATTTCTGATTCATTTTTGGTATAAATATATGAGATTGAATCGTTTCTATTTATATTTAGTGATCCTCCTGCTGTGCATACTTGTCTCTTTCTTTCTTTTCCCTCTTCTTTTCCTCTCAACTCTTCATACACTAAACTAATGCTCTTAGGTTCTTTAGCCGTAAGATTTATAGTTTCTTGTTAGGTTTAGGTCTGGCCAGAATGGAAGAACAGTTTCAATCTACTTGGTAGAATGTAACTGAACTCTGGCCATTTATTCGCCACATTAAGTATGCTTAACCTACAACCTTATACTTGTCATGGTTTTTGGGGAATAATAAACGTATTATTATTTTTATTTTTTTAGATTTTTTCGGTCGATTTCAAAATACTAAAATCATCAATATTGTCAATTATAATATAAGCTTTGTTCCTCTGCTTTCAGTGTAGTGTAATTTACACCACCACTGAAAACCAGCTGATTTGATGGTGTAAATGAGTGTTGGGATTTTAGAGGAACAGGAAAGTGTAGATCATTTGTTTACAATCTTGACGTTGTGAAAAAAAACGTGAAAATAGCATTTAGAAAGGACAGAAATTATTTTTTTCAAGATTCGATTCGTGACAGTTTCTATTTGATTCGATTATTTAATGATGGAGAACATTGATATGTTTATGGAAGATAACGAAGAGTTACTTTCTACAAGCAGTAGCAGTGATGACGAGGACGATAGTGAAATTTTGGCAAGTTTACTCGTCAAGCAAAAGCGGTGTTCCATAACTGAATATGTTATCTGAAACCAACACAATAAAACAAGTTTTGCAAACTGGGCTGTACAATTGGAAAGAATCCATGCTAAGAATAAATACTAACCGTATTTCAATTTATGAATGATTAATTTATCAGTTTCATGCAGATCCACTTCTATTCGCGGGAATCAATGTTACCAGGTGGCGCTCGGTTTTCATCGTTCCATGTCAAAGCCACGTCAAAACTGGGGGAAAACAAACTCGATCCTCACTCAATTCCATTAGTGCCATTAGCTTGTGTACTGTGTACTGATAAGAGTGATAAGTTTTTGAATTTCTTGAAATTCATTGTCAATATTCGATTGAAAACGCTAATAATGCCTGTTGTAGATGTTCTTTTGGCAGATATTTTGCTCTATTTAGATGAAAAAAGCCGACCAGTAGTGGAAGGAGAAGCAGTTCTCCGTGCTAATCATATGATTTTGTGTGAAGCAGAATACTTCAACAAAAGGCACATTTTTGCACTTTGTCTACAAACTTCGGCGATGAAATCTTCCCCAGATGAAGTGAAATTCAGTTCAGAGGAACTCCTGTAGAACAATGGATTTATATTTGTTCCTGCAAAGCAGGACAATCTGGGTATTGTTGGGATAGCTTTGGATCTTTTGGAAAAAAATGCATAGACACACTTTCCGAAATATAATTATTGCACTGAGCAGTACTTTTTTGATTTGCTCGTCATAATTCGTTTGAATTTTTTGAACTATCTCCAATTCTTCACCCGCTCACTGTTCACTAAAATAATAAGAATGTAATAATGTAAAAAAATTAACCAACTTAACCATCATCACTACCAACAGTGCCAACACTTTATGTCATTGACAAGTTTGACAACTACAGCTACAGCAAGCTGTATGCAATGTAGTCTATGCACTTTATCCATAGACAACAGTTTGTTTTCCCCCAGTTTGAAGTTCGTATTTTGTAACCTAGATGTCGCCCACTTTGTGAATCTCGCGAATATCGTTTATACGAAATTTGATAACTTCCATTGATATATTGATATAAATAATAATTTATAATTTTTGAATATTCGCAGATTTTATCGAAACAAATTATTTAACATCTGCCAGTGTATTTCACACCGTCTATAGCCTCGGTGGAGATATTCTACACCAGTGCATAACACTGTAATTACACCGTTTCAAAGGAACGACAAGATGTAGTAGAAAAAGCACCACACTGAAAGAAAGGAACGCTATTTCGGAATCGCAGATTCGTGATTAGAGTTTTCTCAATTCAGAATTTCTTTCCACGTCCTGTATGATGAATATCAATTTATCATACATCCAAAAAAATATATATTCCAGAGATTTTTGCTCGCTCATCTATACTTCCGGAAATAATTTAACCTCTAGTGATTTCACAAGTGAATATTCATTAATCTTCAGACAATAAATGATGATACAGAAGTTCGTGCCACCAGAATCAAATACTAATTATAATTCACGTTGTATCTACATGTCGAAAATATTATCGCTAAAATACGTGTAAGTTAATTCAGCTTCTGTATCGATAGAGCAAGTGCCATAATTTCTAGTAATCAAAAAATATCACTGTAAAAAAGGAGATATCGTGAAAATTAATTACCGTTTGAGAAGGAGTAGATAAGGCCTGAATCAATCGCTGGAAGATTGGTTTTATCCTCGGGTCGTCTTTGTCCAAGTGCCTAGAAAGAGAACCCATCAGGACCACGACTGCTTGTTTGACGGCATCGTAGGAAGCTGATTTCGATGATTTCGCCATGAATTCGTCGAAGATGGGCCAAAGAGTATCAACAGATTCCTTAAAAAAATAGAATGATGGTGTACACCTTCCATGTTCCTATGAATTCAACTATGAAATAGCCAAAATGCTCAAAGTGGAATGAAATGTTGAATAAATACAAAAAGCTCAAAGTCATTTCCATACAATGTTCATGAAATGAACAACAATGGTAGATTTCAGGAGGAATACACCGACTTTCCTGGCTAATGCCAGGCAGAACATTGAATTACATCCTTCCGAAATCTATGCATTGACTCGTATAAACGAATACTAATACAAGGGGTTCTTTCCAGAATGCCTATTGATTTCAATTTAGCCAGGCCACGCTACACACCTACAGACCGGTTTCGAGCTCTTTGACTCTCGTCAGTGTAGGGCAGTCGCCAGCCAGCAGTCTTGACCGCCGACTAGGCGTAGCCTAGCCAAACAAAAATCAAGTCGACATTATATTCCCTCAGAGGCGTCCTCCATAGACAATATGAGAGCAACGCCATCTGAGTAGGAACGAAGGAAAGAAACACTCGAAAACCAAAATTCCCATAGGGGAGTGGCTGGTTGTCCGACTGGCGTAATTTCAACTACGGCTACTCGTAGTTGAAAGAGCTCGAAAACGGTCTGTAGGTGTCTAGCGTGGCCTGGCTAAATCGAAAACAATAGTAATTCAGGAAAGAATCACTTGTATATTGTGTGGAAATAACTTTGGGCCTTTTGTATTTATTTAAATTCTCAATTGGTTAGAATCACATCACCCGATATCTTCTATAGTTTACAGAAGTCGAGCGAAACCTGAATATTAGTTTACAAACCTCTTGAAAAAGAAGGTAATAAAATATGGGTATTTATTGCCCCTCATATAACGATCACCGGCAAGTGAGTTTGAATAGTTTTTTTTTTTCATTTATTGCAGCCAGTCAGTATAACCATACATATGACATGGTGCCGGGATATAGTTATTGAATTTTTCAGGACGCTTTTCTAATAATTCGAGATAATTTTATCATTTTTTCTCAAACAAATATTATTCCCAAGGATCTGAGCTAGTTTATAGCTTTTGCCCAGACAACCATGACAGTTCCTTGAAAAAATAAAAAACTGCCAAGTAAGATTCGTGGTTTGAAACAAGTGATATTTTTTATTGTTTTCGTGTCGTTGATGTTTTAGACAATTTGGCCCATAAATGCTAAGTAGATTACAGTATATTTCTTCTGAGTATTTCTACATTTCTATAAGACTTGTTTAGGACCTATTTACCGACCTGTCTCGTTCGACAAGAAGTAATCTTTGATGAAAATCATTAACGCGATATTACTGCATAATGATATAGTCATGATATCCCCATCTAGTGGCGTTAGTGCTAAGATAGGGCCATGCGGCCACGTCATGCACAGCGTGAAGCTGCCATCTATAGTTAACATGTGGAGACCCTTACGTCTACACATTACAGAGTGCTACTACAAGTAAAGCACTCTGCTGACAGATGGCACCACCTGAATACTTGGGTGGTAACACACACCAGTCCTATTCACTGAATTAGGTCTCATAACTAAGAGATCTAGGATGAACATAGTTGCTCCAATTGTCAGCCGCTCTCGGTCTGTTCATCCTAGATCTCTTAGTTATGAGATCTAATTCAGTGAAGATTATTAAATTGAATTAATTTATGAATTGTATAAGAAATATTATTGCGAATTTAGAGGAAAATTTTATCGTTTGTGAAGTTCTTCACATTATTGTGGTGTTTTGGGAATCCGATTATTCAATGACAACCTCCAAAACTTCATCTTTAAACATAAAAAATCCCATACTTTTCCATGTAGATCAACAACTCGAAGGGCCGCATTCAACATTTCTTTTCTGACAGTCTCGTTTCGATCTGCCAAAGACGTGGCTACGAAAAATTGTACTAAGCTACCGATGATCTCTGGGGTTATCAGTGGTGCCAATTCGGAGAGTGCCAAAGCGACACCTCTCCTAGGGAACCAAGTGTCTATCGCCTTTTCGATTTCTCTGCCGAATTCGTCCATCCTTGCTGGAATCATCTGAAAAATAAAAATTTCAGCTGGATGGGGCATTCTTCACTTCAGTTGTTAGTTATATGACTCCAACCAAATTTGGTCTGGTATTAGAGACAAATGATATTTCAGGCAGTGCCATGCATGATAACTGGATTAAAAAAGATTCAAACCATAGATTAACGACTCCCCTAGGAAGTTCACGATGATGACGTTTCAAAAAATTTGGGTTCTTCCCCATTTTTTTTTAGTATAGATTATTTATTTCTTTCTTTGCTATAAACATTACATTGCATCTCATATAAATATAAATATATTCATCAACATTTACAATGAAATAACATGAATAATCAGACAGATTCATATCTGGTATGAGATTATTCATGCGTTACTAAATTAAATTATAGTTATTGAAATAAACAACAGATTAATAAAAAAAAATAAGGAAACAAAAATCTCCTGAAAAGTACATTATGACATAATCATTTATTCAGGTTTTATTTTCTCTTTGCAATAGGATATGTTTCTTGACTTTAATTTTGAATTGGGTCGACGGCACATTAGCAGCAACATCGCAACAGATAGGGAACGTTTTTGCAGACATGTCAAAAGGATATTCTTTCCGTTGAAAGTCGAATGCCCGAAATCGCTAAAAGTTAAAAAAGAAATCCAATACCTATCTCATCTCCCTATTCTCTCTAAGTATGCACGATGTCTCTCGAACGTGATAGAAATTCTCATTCGTGCGCTCCATTTGATAAAAAAATATATATTGATTGTTCCTAATACCAGTCCAAATCATGAATATGACTAATAACTGATAAAAAGAAAATATTTCCGCATGATACATAGTTGACTATTTGTTGAAACATCCTCTATAATGAGTTATTACCTTCAATCGATCATTGTAAAGTTGAATCAGATGATGCAGAGTGTTATCGACCTGATCGGTATCAGTTTCTAATAGAGAGGCGAGAGCCTTTGCAGCCGCTGCCTGAACGCACTCTACAGGGTGTTCAATATCACTCATGAGCTCCTCACTCAAGCTAGCAGGGAAGTTCATGTCTGCTTGCTCCCATAAGTCTTTGGCCAATATCCTGGAAACATTCAAAATTAATGCATTCTTGTGTACCAATTTACAATCATGTCAAATACACACTATGCAAAATATCAATGGCACAAATGTTTCAACCTAGTATAAATAATTATACATTAAAGTTCCTGGAAATGAGCGATATTCTGATGTGATTGACACTATGGTGGTGTGAATGGAAATATGGAGTGTGATGTAGATTTATAAACATACTCATTGTTTTTCAATGCAATATCTAATTTAAAATGTACCTATATCAAGTTTTCAACTATAATCACTCACTTTCAAGTAGATATCTGATTTTATTAGAGGCTGAATTTATCAATTCATGCGACGAATGGACTAATTTTTTTAGTTCTTAAATAGAATCATCACTCAAATACCTTTCAATTTCATATATTTTCAGAAGTCATCCATAATGCCACGGTAATTTTCAAACGGATAAAAATGAACCGATAGTAAAGACTGAACCAACGATTTTGTAGGTAGGGACAGACCATAGTACAGTTGCCATATGTTGAAATACAATAGGGAACCTCAGAAATATCAGTTATTTAATAATTCATAAATTCTCAGATATGTATTGGTAATATTCCTAATTATCAATAATAAATCAATTGTCGCAAACTCACTTTACCCATTAAACTCATATGGCGACTTTTGCATCGTTACTATATACAGGGTCTCTATAAATGATCGTAACATTGTAGTGACTGTTGACATTTTTTTCCATTTGCCGCTTTCTACTAATGCTGTTAACAACATTTAACGACCAAAAACAGAGGAAGTGATCATATACAGGATCTTTTTTCAAATCGTTTTGCATACACTATGGAAATGTATCTCAAAAAATAATGGAACAAATCAAAAATATTTATTAAAGAAGTAATAAATGACGGTTTATTTCATTAACCAACATCAAATGTTCAGAATGGTATCCGTTGTTCTCCAAGCATTTCAAAACTCTTCGCCGTTTGTTGTCGAAAATGTTCCTCAGCATTTCTGTGCCAATATTTTGGCAGCAATGTGTTATTGAGGCTTGCAGCTTTTCAAGGTTATTATTGTCTCTCTTGAATACTTCGTCTTTCAAATATCCAAAAAGGCAGAAATCCAAAGGCGTCAAATCTGGAGAACGTGTTGGAAAAAAAGGATTAACTCCTCGATTTATCACACAGTTGTCATAAAATTCTTGTAAATATTCTAAATTTGCACGTGTGGTATGGGCAGTGACCCCATATTTCTGAAAATAGCTAACTCGAATTTCTTCATCATCAAGTAGATTGATGAATGGTTTAAACATCACTTGTCTGTACCTTTCACCATTGATAGTGCCATCGAAGAAAATCGGTCCATATATCCGCCTACGAGAAACTGCTAACCACACCCCAATTTTTTGAGAATGTGGTGGAGTCTTAATGAAATTGTGGGGATTCTCAGATCTTCAAAACCCAAAATCGCTGAAAAATGTTAGGTCCAATAGCTGGTCATCGTTGAGATTATTTTGGAACCATTGGCAGTACTCCAGACGACGTGAGATATCTATTGGCAGAAGTTGCTGTAGTACACTGGTCTTGTAAGGGTGCATATGCAATCTTTTCTTGAGCACTTTATGGCATGTACTTAGTGGCACACCAGATTGTAAAGATAATCTCTTCAATGACGTTTGGGGATTTGGCTCAACACGCGCCCTTAGATTTTCGACAACTTCTTCCGATATTTGGGGCCTTTCTGTTGATTTCTTTTTATCAACGTTTCCAGTTTGGATGAATCTGTTGATCACTGTTCTGATGTGGGTTTTCAAAGAAGATTCTTGAATCTGTTCATTAGGATATTTCGCCAGGTACTCATCCTTGCAGGCTACTACCGAGTAACTCCATCCACCATTGATGAATGTGCGATTTCGACAATAAGACATTACAATAAATGTATTCTGCTCCGAGGAATAAGCCATCCCTCTTTTCAACACGACAATCACGAAGTAGAAACAGAATCGTTTGCAAATTTTAACGAAAAACTGACAATTGTGAGTTTATCAGCTATGACAGTATAATGATTGATGTCAGAAATTGAATTCGAATGTGTGAATCTCCATAAATGAAAGACGGCAAACGGAGAAAATATTTCAACGGCTACTACGATGTTACGATCATTTATAGAAACCCTGTAGTATACAAATTATCGAATTTACGTCTTCGTCCTAAATGTAGAATCTAACAACACAGTTAATTCGACTTTGTACCTGTTCTCGTCGACCGGATCGAAGGTGGCCACCCACACCCGCTTGACCACCCTGAGGGCGTACTCGTAGTCGCCCTCGAAGGTCGGCAGACAGGCGACGTCGATGGCGAGGCAGCGGAGGGCAGCGTCGCGCACCACGGCGCTGGGGCTCTGCAGCGCGCCCAGCAGCACGTCGATCTCCGCGGAGGTGGCGCAGGCGCAGCCGGGAGCGCCGCTCACGCACGCCGCCACCTCCAGCAGGCAGGCCTCGCATTGGGATTGGACCCTGCCTGAGGTGCTGTCTGGAAAATAATAATAATCATAATAACGGGGAAGTTTCCTTCAGATGAAATGTCATTGTTCAATTCAATAAACATCGATCGGATAACTTTATTGCATCGAAGCTCTGAGGGGGCAGACGGACGATCTAGCCTTCATAACCATCTTGTGGCTAAAGTGCAAAGGTGTATAGGTAGATTCAACAATCATACTTTGCGAGTACGTCGTGCATATAGACCCCTACGTCTATATGCTTACAGAAAAGACACCTTTGCACTTGAGCCACTAGATGGCTATGAAGGCTAGATCGTCCTTCTGTTCCCTCAGAGCTTCGATTTGTATAATATATGGAGGTACCCTACGTGAAGCAATTGTCAGCTGGTCAGTGCAACTGATGAGACTTATGGCAATATTGAATAATGGTTTTGGTATATACGTGCGGGCTGTGGGGTAAGTACGTGGGAATTTCTAGCTATGACTAATAGCCTGGGAGCCAGCAACCGTTTAGAGTTAGTCATTTCACAAAAGCTGAAAATTCTTCCTGAGCTTTATTTGGGATAACTAGTAAGGGAATCAGCCTCCAGCTGGCACACTTCCGGGGGGTGTAGTTGCAGCAGCGTCCCAAACACGTAAAATTATAATAAAAAAAAACTGATATCACAAAAGCTGAAACTTTGTTAACATGTTGATTATCATACAAATAGATCAAAAAACGTATCCAGCCGAACTTATACTGGGGGATTATGCTCCAGCTTTTCACGTAAAGAAGTTAAAAATATGCGCTGAGTAAACTAATACCGCAAAAGCTGAAATTTGGTGAACAAATAGTTAAATTAATAACATAAACGATGAGAACATCCAGCTTTACATTGGGTGGGGGAAAAGTGCCCAGCTGATGCAGTGAAATACGCTGCGCATGGATATCTCGGGCGCATCGTATCTTTGACTGCATCAGCTGGATACTTTGCCCTCACTAAAATGATGAGCTGGAGGTTTTTTTTGTTAACCCATTATTTCAACTATAGGTACACCAAATATCAGCTTTTGCGGTATCAGGTATCTATAGTTTTCTCAAACTCAGCGCACATGCATGCATTTATTTAATGATAAATACGTAGGTATTACATTTCTGATCTGAAGGAAGATAATTAAAAATAGGTTTACTATCAATTTTTTTTTCAGTATTCCTTCACAAAAAATATACTAACAATACAAATTAACAGACATAGTGAACTAGTGTGTGTAACAAAATCAGATATCAACAATGTTTTCAGATTTCGGATCCTTCGGATTCATCGTCGTCGTTCCCATCATCGCTTTCATGATCGCTGCAATTGATGCTGATCCACGAAATATCTTCGTTATCATCTGTAACCATATATTGTATATTAACTATATATTGAAATATATAGGCACTGACTGTGATACACTTGAAAAGTATTCGGCTCTTTCGGTAACACAACATTGGAGAAACTCAAACCAGCGTTTTTCCGAATTTTCAATATTGGTATGCACTTAGTTATCTTATTTGCATCAAAAAGATTCAATTTTCCGCCTTTTTTGGAGCAAAATACACAAAAGGGATGTATGTTGGACATTGTCGCAGCTTCGATTGGAATATGTCATTTAGACAAATTTGTACACATCAAATGAACGCCGTTTCCAAGAGATTAAAAAAATGATGAATTGAACTCTGATGCGATCACTGCACTCCCCTTGGCTAAATATATCAGATGATCACAATTTTTTTGCAGTTTCATTTTGAATTTATCTGTGTGGCCAAATTAGTCGGAACATAAATATTTTTTTCATTATGAATATACCACAAAATACTTCTGCTATTTTTGCAAGCATGTTTTTTCAGTGTAGGTAACAAATTTTGAGCCACCGAACATCAGAACATCTCTGATTCTGAGCAGAGGCGCCAAATTCTAGTAGGAGTTGGCCGAGAGAGGGCAGTGTCGGTTCACACCTGTCCATCAGCACATATTCGATGATAAATCTGTGGATTCTGCCAGCGCATTTGATGCATGGACAGCGCGCTGTGTTTAATGAGAGAAGTATAGATACCTGATACCGCAAAAGCTGATATTTGGTGTACCTATAGTTGAAATAATGGGTTAAACAAAAAAAAATCCCGCTCATCATTTAGTGAGGGCAAAGTGTCCAGCTGATGCAGTCAAAGATACGATGCGCCCGAGATATCCATGCGCAGCGTATTTCACTGCATCAGCTGGGCACTTTTCCCCCACCCAATGTAAAGCTGGATGTTCTCATCGTTTATGTTATTAATTTAACTATTTGTTCACCAAATTTCAGCTTTTGCGGTATTAGTTTACTCAGCGCATATTTTTAACTTCTTTACGTGAAAAGCTGGAGCATAATCCCCCAGTATAAGTTCGGCTGGATACGTTTTTTGATCTATTTGTATGATAATCAACATGTTAACAAAGTTTCAGCTTTTGTGATATCAGTTTTTTTTTATTATAATTTTACGTGTTTGGGACGCTGCTGCAACTACACCCCCCGGAAGTGCGCCAGCTGGAGGCCGATTTCCTTACTAGTGATACTAAATGAAGCTCAGAAAACATTTTCAGCTTTTGTGCTTTTGGTCATTGAAAAAGGTCGCTGGCTTCCGGGCTATAATCAATAATCATTCCCTAGACATTAGTGTTATACGATATTATCAAATTTTGATAGTAATTATATGTATATTAATAAGGATGGACAGAAGATGGTGGGCCAACTGTAGGCAATCTCCATATACTTATTTTGGTACAAAACACTTAACAGACAGCCTACTAGATAGAAGGAATCTATTCAATATCAGTGACAGTACTCGCAAGTGAGCCGCTAGATGGCGAACAAATGTCATGGAATTACAGTTTAGATAATAAAATAATTTTAGGGAATCTGTATTCTGTATTCTGTATTTGAGGTTATGTTATTTGTTATGTCTGACGCGAGTCATAGTATTAAAAAAAACATGTTTATGTGTTTTTTTTATGAAAATATGGACTGGAATGCCCAATAAGATAGTATGGAATAAAGTGTATGTGTTTTGAATTCGATCGTCAAACCTTTGAAATCGACGAGACTCTGCTTCAACTTTCAAGTGGACAGTGATCCCTGAGATTCTGATTGTAGTGCTGGTGGTACCTACTTATGGAAAAATCGAGGGAAAAGTAGTTATTCATTGAATCACAGATGAGTTTGTAAACAGTAAGTACTCATTTTATATTTCATCCATATTCATATGATACCTGATTTGTTGATGGTTTTGCAATAGGGCTGATGCATCCTTGCTGATACTGAAGTGAATCTCAGATTATATTATTTATTCCATATATCTCAAAATACTTTCTATCCACCATTCATACCTGCTTGCCTACCTCAAACAGTTAGAAGTTTACCTATCTGTTTTTTCTTTCTGTAGTAGCATAGATCTATGGTAGTAGTATGTAGTATGATGGCCCTTTTAAATAGATTAACAGCCATTCTCTATGCAATACCTACCTATTATATGCATGATGCAGAACATACCCTTGAACAGACATTTTTATCATAAAAACCTTAGAAAAGTTAATACTGAATTCGTGAATTCTCACAATCTACATTTAAGTACAGTAGCAAATAGTTTATTGGTTCAATTTTGAAACAATCTTTTTACTCTTGTGGGGTTGGAACCTACATATTTGAATAATTCAGCTTGGTATTCAACAGTCATTAGTAAATATATGTCCCAGAGCTTTTTAAAATTTGAGACCAGCAACTTTCATGCTTATACTACACAAAAAGTCCTCCAAAATCTCATTCCAAATAGTGAAACAGAACCAAATCAACCCCTTGTCAAACATCTAAGAATCACTCTTGATTTTCTCCAAATTGCAGCTCCATGTAATCAAGCATGTGTTTTGGTTCATCTCAAAGAACTTTTATAAAATTATACATTTCCATAAAACATATCAATCAAAATTTTTGTTGAATGTCTAGGGTGAAATGAAAAAGAAATGAAAAAACATGGGATGTGATTTGAAAAACCAATGTTATGGGTGGTTCCTAGTGTAGGGGTCAGTTTAGTCATGACATTGTTGCATTGATTATGTTCAATGCTGTTACATTATCATGAGATTCAGGATGAAAAAAATTCATCATTTATTAAACAGTATAATACATCAACTATATTGAGCTTTCGTGTATTTATTTAGGAAAATAATATATGTTTCAGTAAAACTGTTTACATACAAATTTTTATCAACTTTTCTACTTCAGTATTCCAGTGCCACCAGAAAAATTTTGAAGAAAAATATGTAAGCCTTCTTGGTGCAGCTTCTGAATTGGTCATCAAATTGCAACACCTTATCTGACATCCAAGTGGAAGCTATTAAACTATTGTATCTGGGTGAGTGTGATTATATTTTATTACTTAGCATATATAATTTATCAAAGTACATATAAATAGATCTGTATTGAAACTACTATCACTAATAAACAAGGAATATCAAATTAGTTATCACAGTCACAGGTAGGTATAGGGTGATTCACCATTAATGTCCCCCTCCCTCTATTCTAAACTTGAATATTTGATTTCTGTATGGGGATCAACAAAACTATCTATTATGAAGCCTCTCAAAACTCTTCAAATAAAATTATCAAATGTATATACATACTAATTTATTTGGAACCTACTAAGAACATTTACAGAAAAAAAGAATTACTAGATAGGTATAGATTCATTATATAAATTCAAATTATCATTCATTCATCCAGTTAAATATTGTAAAAAGCATTCAAATTTGGTTTTCCAAATTAATTGTAGTCACCACAACCACACAACTAGACTATTGGTAAAAAATCCATCTATCACAATGGAATGATACAATACAATTCACTACCAAATAACTGGAAGCTGATTAATAACATTGAACAATTTAAAAATAAATTCAAGAAACATCTACTCCTGTAATATTGACATCTTATCTCATTTTTATATTTTTCTCCTACAACTACTATAGTTTTCCAT